AAAAAAGGTTCTACTGGTTCAAAAATAATAAATATACATCTACAGGCCTCGCCCAGTATGGGCAACAATAAATAAATACAAATAAGATTTTCTCACCATTAGGTTAATCATCATGATGCGGTGCAAGTCTAGCGCTAATGTATACGGTGCCACAATTTTCGGTGCGGACCCATGATACGGTACCAAGAACTCGGTCAGTTGTCACACTTTTATGACTTTTTTAAGAAACTAAACAGCTTAAATTTGTGTGCAAGAGTCTGTGTATATATATCTTTGACGCTATCAATTATGTTAAATAGATACTTTGAGTGACAACATAATTATCTCTTTTTAGAAGTTTTTCAAATGCTCATTTTTCCCAAGCCAGCTCTAGCTGTTTTCATTAAAACAAAGAAATCGTAAAAGTCTTTGATAAAAACTAGCTAAAGACATAAGCTTCAATGATCATAATATTCCGTAGACACACTTTTATGAATACACTTACTTCAAAAATGTGACTTTCAGGCCGTTTTCCATCATGCATGTTATGTTTACGTGTTTGTTTTGTCTAAAATGATACGGTGCTGCGCGCAGGATGATAAATTTTCGACGGTATGCGGAAAAATGATGCGTATACCCTTGACACCGTGCATCTATATCATTGAGTTCACACTGAAGTGGACAGGCACTGTTCACACCATTGAATACTTGTGGCTGATAGTACATCATATCGGGGGAAACACCTGTTGGGCTTTCAATCTCAACTTGTCTTCGAATTCGGTGGTGATTCCACATTTCAGCTACTTTATCAAGATCTTGCTGGATTAAAGAAAGAAAGCAAAACCTGACACATTCGGTATGAACGGGGTCACCATCATGCAATTAAGTAGCCAGTATCGCGAAGATCTTTAAAAAAGTTTTTCCAAAAGGTTGTAAAATTGTCATTCAATAAAACCCAAAATCTTTCAATACGCTGGCCCATATAAGAAGCTTTTTCTTCCAGACATACAATCGCCATGATTATATCTTAAAGCCATTTGGAGATCTCGAACGACAGAATTTTCTGTGCCGTAATCCGCACGAACAACCATCGGCAGTTGATTTATTGTTTTAATGTATTCAATGTAATTATAATATCTTGCAATAATCTTTGGATCGTTATTTGTGTATGCTGCTCTCAGCCACAGCACCTTTCTTGAGTAACCATCAATAGCCCCATGTATTGATATCCCAAAAGGTTTAAGCTAATCGTATCCGTAAATGTGAATAATAAAGTTAGGACCTCGATTGACATATATTCGTCTGCGTAACCGACGCCTTAACCGTAAGTTGACACCAGCTGGGTCCATCGCCTTGACTATTTTGTCTCACTGTGTCTTGAGTTGCAGCAACATTACCTGATGACTTTAATACTCTCCAGATTGTGCGGTAGCCCGAATTTGAGAAACCACATTGGCAAAGTTGCCTTACTTCGTTTATAACCCTCGGTAAAGGAGAGTACAAACCGTATCTTCTTAGTCCTAAGCGTTGAACGATCCAACGGATCTGACGAAGAGTTATCATAATGTTGTGTGCACAGCAACTGAATCCACATATCTCTTCCCAGGTATATCCTAGCCGGAAGTAATGGGTCACGAGACCATCTCTTAATTTGTGTACTTCAAATCCAGGAAATAGTGCTCCCACATCTTGATTTAAGAATGAAAATAATCAAATGTATACCTGAAATTATATGAATTGTGAAAAAGAGTATGAATATTTAAAAATAAATTTTCCTACGCATAATAAAGGGAAACACAACAATTCATATTTTTTTATTTTACCCATCAGAATTTTCGACCTCGTTAATTTACTTTTCATAGAATTACATAGAAAGATGCACTAATCGATTGGTAAACAATTAAAAGAACAAACGTGCAAGCTACAGCTATAGATAGTATAAAGTATGTTCTTACCAGCCATAGGTCAGTGACTAGAACAGAATACGTATTGATCAGTAAGTGTTATTGAAAATTAACACAGTCATGTTGAATAGACAAATAGAAATTCTTTCACCTTTGCAGTTACATGTATATCACCAAAAGGTATGTTAAGTTGCATGGATTGATGTTGAGAAAATATAAACATTTTATCGACAAAAAAATATATCGATATAAATTCGGTAGTAATAGAATGCGAAATGGACACCATTTCGCGAAATGAACTTTTCGACTACGAAATGGACATTTTTTTCTTAAATTTTGGTTTAAGTGTACTATTTAATATCATTTTTAATAACGAACAAGTGATATATGACATAAAATTACTATTTAAACAATTTTGGTAATAAATTTTTCATTATTTATGCTTGTATACTGTATTTGAAAATAATCGTATAATAATGACACATAGTTCAGTGTTTTATACATGTATGGACTTTCAAATAGAAAGATTCTTTTATATCATATGTTTTACCTGGGACAAAAATATTTTTGTCGTCCCAGATTAAACGTACGTGAATAGAAAAGATACCCTTTTTGACATGTCAGTTGCACCATAATTTGTAAAGCAAATGTCCATTCCGTAAGCGAAAACTCCATTTCGTGGCCGAAAACTCCATTTCGTAGAGGCCAGATTATTTTCAGAAATATGACTATAAAATAAGAAAATAGTAATATTAATTGGTACAATCTGTACTTTTATGTCATATGTTAAACATAAATTAATGAAAATAATGTTACTCATCACGGTTAAACAAATAATTGTCCATTTCGTAGGCGGTAAGTTCATTTCGCGAAATGGTGTCCATTTCGTATTCTATTACAACCCATATAAATTAGATCGTCAAAGTATGGAAAATGTAGACAAAAAAAAAATGTGATGATGTCTGAACTGATGTAAGCAAGACGTAGAAAGTTTCAATGGCAAGACGCTTTATTTATTGCGTTTTAAGCGACGACACAACACATCGTATCGCCTTAAAGGAACTCCACTGAGGTTTATAAGCCTAAAAACTTTAAATTTTGATTTTTCATATAGATAATCAGGAACACTTAAAAACAGAAATATAAATAAAATATAATCAAGACACATACAAAAAAAACATTGAAAATAATATTTGTGCTATTCTCAGTCCGATTTGATTGAAAAGCGTTTAAGCGCTTTTCAATTTTTGGTCATTTTTCACTATTATATAAAATATTCTGGGAAAACGGAGCGCGCAAATGATCTGAAATTTTGAACATAAGTTTTTAGTATAGATCTACATCAAATGAAGTAATAATTTCAAAAATAAAATTCCAGTTCCGTCAGGTCAAAAAACCTCAGTGGAGTCCCTTTAAACACGGATTTATATTACAGTAATGTATATCCGTGCTTTTAAAGTTTAAAATAGTCGACATGCACCATGCGTATTATCTCGAACACGGCATCTCGGGGGGTCAATTCAAGCTTCCATATCTACCAGTGAATATCACATCATATTCAATGACTCTCTAGTCAAAAATAAATTGTATAATATATATCACAAAAGTTAAAACAAATCCTACAAATATATGACCCTTGTAAGTTGTTAGGCTATGCAGTACTTTATGAAACCAAATAAAGTGTCACTCTGGACATCTCGTCACTTGGTCTTATATGAGAGGGGGAGTTTAGTTTGAACTCAACTGTACACGGGGAAACAGCTTAATTTTATATCTAAACTTATGCTCCGACCTGTATTATAACTACATGAACTCTATGGAAGACAAAAATAATTTCTCATTATTTCACAGACCGCGCACGGTTACACGTACTTTGATCATTATTTTTGATTTTGATCCATTGTTTAGTCCAACCAATAAGCTATTTTCGTGTCTGGGCAATATCTCGCTTCTAAACCCCAGAACGAAAATAACTCAGAATCAAGCTTTGGCGCGTCAATATATTTTGACTAGATGTAATCCATTGTACGGTAACGTGATGCCTAAAGTTAGTTTCTTCCTAATATTTTTTTTATATCTGAAGCATATATTACAGCCTTAAAAGATCAATATTAAGTGTCGTATTCTATAGAAGAAAAAGTGAGAATCATTTGATCTAAACAAAAATGACTTTTCTTGATGTTTAAAACACACATTTTTATCGCGTTCCGTATTTAATTTTGACACGCCTCTTGTATAACCACGCCTATCGATCATACCGGATCCGGAAACAATGACTGAGCATGCGTAAATTCAGGTAGCATTCTTGTTTGACAGGACAACAAACAAAAATTGAAAGCGTTTGTTAAAATGGTAATAATTATGTAGTTTTCATTAAATCTATTTAATCGACATTTTACACCATTTTTTTAAAATTATTTAATTTGGGTTTTAACTGCAGCTAACAGAATGCACTGATTACATGAACCGAGTTCATATATTTTCTTGCCAAATTATTTCTTTTAAGATTCGTACCTCAGGTAGCTCGAACTTTAGCAATATTTTATAAAAATTTTATATAAGCATTTATATTTTTATGAGCCTTGTATAATTCTTGTTGTCTTCCTTAACCAGCGAAGATGACATTACCATGACCACAGTGCCATGCAAAGAAATCCACTGAAAGTAACTTGGCTTAAACCACAGACTTAAATTCGTCAAGTGACAGGCAGAACTAGCAGATAACAGGCTATTCTTGTTAGTAGAATTGCAATGTAATGATAACCGGTTGCATATCTCCCTGTAAATTGAAATTAGGCAAAGCCTACAGTATGAACAGGAAAGTTGTTACAAAAAATCCTTTCATTTTTCCATTTTAAAGGTGTCATGCGTATTTCATGCCCCGCTTCCGCAGGGCATTTTTTCCTTCTATAACAGGGGCCGATGTTCAGCCCCTTCACAATTCGAAATTGCACTTTTCACAATGCGGTGGAAAAAAATTCACAATCTCGAAAAGAGATTTCACAAAATGTCGGGACTTCGAATCTGTACTCCTTCTCAATTCATTGTTAACTTTCGGTAACACTTGATTTTTGCCAATTGCAAACACGTAATTTTAATCAAGTTAAATGTATTTGCGCATGTTTACTCGGTTGAAAATACCGACTCGAAGAGGATTTTAGACTAGTCGGAAATTATAATAAAGCGTTCATCGCGCGACATTTCCGGTTTCAATATGTCACAAAATGGGAAATACAATGCAAAACAGAAAACGCAAGAACAAAATTTCGGCATTAAAAAAAAAAACTAGACAACCGGGCAAAAGTGCTACCACCAGACTCGGTAATTACAGAATCGTGTCCTGTACCTTCGACCGCTATCATCGGTACAAATGATCGAATCCGATCATTCATGGTAAAATAATGGTAAGAGCAGTTGAGAAACCTTGTCCTGTACCTTCGTCCCATGAAACGGGACCGCCACCATCGGAACAAATGACCGAATCAGATCATGGTGATAAAATAGGATAAACAGGTGTAGGTGTTCTTTTTAATTGTGACAGTCATTTTTATTCAGCACAAATAAATATTATAAATTTGTTACATAATTATGATTTTGTTGTTATGAATATGATGCTGTACATGACTGTATCAGAGCCTGAGGTTACGTAAAACAATTTATTTTTCTTTGTGTGCAAGATGTTAATAACTTACATAAGGAAAGTCTATTTTTTGGGTATTTCAGTCTTTTTAGCTCACCTGTCACAAAGTGACAGGGTGAGCTTTTGTGATCGCTTTTCGTCCGGCGTCTGTTTGTCGTCCGTCCGTAAACTTTTACTTTAAATGACATCTCCTCATAAACCACTAAGCCAATTTCATCCAAACTTCACAGGAATGTTCCTTTGGTGGTCACCTTTAAAAAAATTGTTCAAAAAATTTAATTCCATGCAGAACTCTGGTTGCCATGGCAACCGAAAGAAAAAACTTTAAATATCTTCTATTAAAAAACCCTAAGAGCTAGAGCTTAGATATTTGGCATGGAACATCTTCTAGTGAGTGTCAACCAAGTTTGTTCAAATAAAATCCCTGGGGTCAAAATTGGCCCCGCCCCAGGGGGTCATTGATTTTCCCTATATGCATATAGTAAAAACTTAAAAATCTTCTTTGAAAGAACTCAAAGAGCTAGAGCTAAGATATTCAGCATGAAACATCTTCTAATGGGTGTCTACCAAGTTTGTTCAAATAAAAGCCCTGGGGTCAAAATTGGCCTCGCCCCGGGGGTCATTGATTTTCCTTATATGTGTATAGCAACACGCCCCGGAGGTCATTGATTTTCCTTATATGTGTATAGCAAAAACTTAAATAATCTTCTTTGAAAAAACCCAAATAGCTAGAGTTTAGATATTAAGCATGAAACATCTTCTAGTGAGTGTCTACAAAGTTTGTTCAAATAATAGCCCTGGGGTCAAAATTGGCCCCGCCCCGGGGGGGTCTTGATTTTCCTATATGCATATAGTAAAAACTTAAAAATCTTCATTGAAAAAACCCAAATAGCTAGAGTTAGATATTAAGCATGAAAACATCTTCTAATAAGTGTCTACAAAGTTTGTTCAAATAAAAGCCCTGGGGTCAAAACTGGCCCCGCCCCAGGGGTGTCATTGTTTTTAACTATATGTGTGTAGTAAAAACTTAAAAATCTTCTTTTAAAAAACCCAATGAACTAGAGCTTAGATGTTTAGCATGAAATATCTTCTTATGGATGTCTACCAAGTTTGTTCAAATAAAAGCCCTTGGGTGAAAATTGGCCCTGCCGGGGGTGAGATCATTGTTTTTCATTACATGTGTGTAGTAAAAACTTAACATTGTGAAGCATCTTCTAATGAGTGTCTTCCAAGTTTGTTCAAATAAAAGCCCTGGGGTTTAAACTGGCCCCGCTCCGGGGGCCTATACCTCAGGGCCATCATGGCCCTCTTGTTTCTTTTTTTTTTCAGAAATTTTTTATTCATGTGCCATTGTTGACTATTCTTTTGCATGATGCATCTTGTTCAGTCAGTGTGACAAGATATCTTTGTCAGTTTGATAACTGTGTGAAATAAAACATCAACTATTATAATGAAAGTGTAGTTCAGGAGACAAAAAATCTGTTATTGGCCAAATTTTAAGGCTTTTGTTTTCAAGGGCCATAACTCGGCCAAAATCATTCCATGCTCAAGATTGTTTTTATTTACAGAATAAAGAATGAGAAGATAGCTAGCCACTATGGAGCCACAGCCACCAAGAAAACCCAAGGAGAATCGTCCATTTTATGCTCCACCCGAGGATAAACCAATTGCTGTACAGATTATAAATGAAGCCAGATCCTCTCTTAAAGAATTGAAAACTAAAAGACCCTTTACACCACGAGATGATAGAAGAACTTTGTTTGGATCAAGACCTGTGAATACCTCTGATAACCGTCCACCTAGTGCTTTTAGGTAAAATAAAAAAAAATAAAAACTTGCTCAGAGTAGTGATCAAATTCTCTCTAGCTTACAACTTTATCATTACTTGCCAAGTTGGTATAATGTCTTCATCATAGTCAGAATATGTGTCGTTTGCAAAAAACCGATGTCCAAATCTACAAGTGTAAGCTTGTACTTTCAAGTAAAGAGTCATTTTCAAAAGTTGCCAGTGAAAATTTTAGAATAGTCAACAAAAATGTTCTCTTGAGTGGTTTTACAGCAATTTGATATGTAATGGTCATGGTGTGCCAAAAGAACTTGGCTATAAAGTCTGCTGTATCTTGCAGCTATTAGTTTTGGGCTTACCTGGAGCACTGGTTAAATGATTTATGTCAGTGTTATGAAAAAAAGTTGTATTTTCATTTTGCAGCTTAGATTCCCGACACTTTGATCCAGATTCCAGACCAGTTTCAGGAACACGACTGAGTCCTTTAGATCATGTAAGTTAATACTTTTGACTTTCAGTTCTCATCCGTTTTAACCTGTTTCTTTTGTATTTATCCCTTCAAGCCAACTCTTCATACATGTATGTAAACTCGAAATCTTACTTTTTAATACCCAACATGTAACTTTTTTGATACCTTAATATCTTCCATATAACCAAAGTTACCTTTCTTTACTTCATGCACATATAGCTTCCAAAAATTGAAAGTAAGAAATCAAATCACTGTAATAAAATGGTTTATCACATGCCTTTGCTGCTTTTGCGACTCCATAAAATTGGTATTGCACAGCTGGGCATATATTTTGACCTGACATTGGCGTTTTACAAGTATAGCATTAAGATATGCTACATGTTAGCATTACACTTTAAGTGTGTCAATGAAAAAGTGATAGTTTTTTTACTGTTACAGTTCTAATTAATGTGATAAATAGAATATAATAATTCATGTAGCTTCATTACTAAGTTCATTGAACCTGTTTTAAAAAATATTATATAATATAATGCTCGCAAGGGCAGAGGCACTCATAATATGATTTTATTAACTTGGTCAATAGAATTGTTAGTGAACCTACTCTCATACAATATGTTTTATTTCTTAGGCTAACTAAAATGATATCAAGGCTTTTGAAAAAGAATTTTAGACTGTACAAGTTTGCAATGTAGAAAATCTAACTATACACTTAGTCTAGTTTAGGCAAAATGCATATGATCAAATCACTTAAAGCTTGGAATGAAATTGATCATTTCTTTAAAATTGTACCAGAAAACTATTCTATAGGATATTAAAGGATATTTTATTGAAGTGCCATTTCTTGATTGTAATAGAATTATGTTTGTTTGTATATAGAGCATGAATTATCTGAGAATATGTAAAAAACACACAATATGAATAAAATTAAATGTGAAATCACTTTGTTCGCAGTGGACATGTATTTTGTGTTAGGAAAAATGTATGAATTCAACTCCACTCTAATACAAGTATAAATCCAAACAAAATTGTTACAGTTGTCTGAAATACAAGCATAAAACATTGCCTCAATCATGCGGTAATGTCATTGCAGTTCATAGTTTGAAGATACTGGAAACGTTATTTGTATTTCATATTAGTTATACAAAGTTATAAAAGTTCTATGGTATGGCTCTTTCACGATTGACGAAGGTAATTTTAACTTTCAGAAACCGTGCATATCAACTGTACAAGAAGATGTAAGCAAGTTTCTAGCATAGTTAGATGTTGTCACACTATATCATCCTCTATTACTATTGTAACATTATCATTGTAACCTCTTGCTTTTACTTCCTTCTTTTCTTATAGAATTGTATATGCTCCATTCTAGAATTGATATACAACTTACGATTGGAAACAGGTGCTTTGACAGTGATTGGAATTAGCAATAGCCCGACAACGAATAAACTAAACAAAATTTAATCCAGGTTTTGTAGAAAATTTCAATTTACAGTGAAAATTGCTCAGTTACTTAAGCTCCACTGCTTTGAATTTTTATCTCATATTACTATGACTGTTTGAAGTTACTCAAATTTTAGTTTTAGGGCCTCTTTGGGAAGGTAAAGGACATATATATTGCTATCATGTTAACTGGGGCAAAAATAAGGGAAAAATTAAAAAAAAAAACATAAGGCACATTATTTATTTCTTGTAAAACCTATTAAGGTTTTTCCCTCTAAAAAAAAGAATTAAATGATTTAATTAGACATATATTACTTTTTATTTTGAACTTGCATTGGTTGATTTAATTAGATGTCAGAAATTTTGGCTCAAAATCACTCATAAAAAGAGCACTGGAAGCTCTTTGAAAGTCACATCTGACTTGTCCCTGATGACAAGTTTATGAGTTTTAAACTTAACTTTATATAACCAGTATTAATTGAGCTAAATTTTTTTAAAAAAACCTGTGTTAACTAAAATTACTAAAAGAAAAACTAGAATTACATTGAATAACAAGTAAGTGTTAAATGCTTAATCTGTGGTATGTATTGAAGATCAGAATTGATTTGTCTTGTTTAAAATCACGCAAGAAAAATGTTGATTGGTGATTTTCAATCTAGCTTAAATATAAGTCAAATCTTAGATTTGACCTGTTTTTACCCATTAGTCAATTTTTCATATTTGATCTTAAATACGCATTATGGCCCTAGGTTATTGCTTTTTTGTGTGTGAAAAACTATGTGTGTCCTTGTGAAATTTTAAAGGACACAAACGGCCTTGCTTTTACTTGTAGTCCCATCAGGTGTCATGTCATGCCTGACAAAAATAAAACAGACTGATAGTAATGACAGTTATGACTTCTGACTTCTTTCTTTCTGTTCTAGCTTTAAGAAGAAGGAATTTGAGCCGGGTCACGACAAAACCAACATAGTGCATTTGCGACCAGCATGGATCCAGACCAGCCTGCGCATCTGCGCAGTCTGATCAGGATCCATGCTGTTCGCTTACCAACCCTATTACAAGTAGAGAAACTGATAGCGAACAGCATGGATCCTGATCAGACTGCGCGGATGCACAGGCTGGTCTGGATCCATGCTGGTCGTAAACGCACTATGTTGGTTTTGTCATGACGTGGCTCATTTCTAGCTTTTGCTACTTAGTGACCTTTGACCTCCATGGTTCATGCTGCAATCCTTTCACAGCTACTCTACTGACTACATGTATATTCTTTCTAACAACTAATCAAATGGAAAGTCACTGAAATTCTAAATGTCCGAGATATGTCTTAAATAATCTGCAAATGTTACATAAATGTACGTCTATGAGTAGTTATTCTTTATGGGTAAACATTGATGTTAGACAGGGGTCATACATTCCACACATTGTCAGAATAACTTTAAACTGAACAGGATAAAACGCAAAAAAAGGTAAAAAGGAAAGAAGTTCTTTAAGATTATTTTTCATTTAGGTAAGACAATCTTACACAGATATGTTGCTTTCTAAAAGTAAAGTTAAGGAGGTTAGGTTCACTGTATTTTATGTAGGAATTGGATTATCCATTTTTAAAATGTCTAGCTATAATTTGACAAGCAATTTTTTTCCCCAACCCTTTCACTGCTAAATGTTCATTTAACAGACTTTCTCCTGTTTTTAATTTTAAAAAATGTTCTTAGGTATTTTCATGGAATGGACTTAAACTCCCGACTAAAAATTTTTTGGGTTACCCCAATTAATTCTGGGGTACAAACAAACTTTTACAGCTACGGTCTCAAAACTAAGAAAAAAAAGATTGATTAATTTATTGTGAACAGTAGTGCACCATGAAGTTTAAATTGTAAATGTTTGTAGCCTGGGTCTCCACAATACCGGTGTACATATTTTATACAAGGTGTTTTTCATATAAAAATTTATTGACTTGAAAAAAAGAAGGAATAAACAACTTCATTAACATTTAATCCTCTTAAAATTATATTACAGAGTTCTGTTACTCTGAAATTCTCGCTCATTGTGAATGTAAACAATGGTCGACCATTTTGTATGACGTAGTTAAACAGACTTCATGCTACCGGTGCACTGGTAAAAATGTTATTTATATGGAAAGCCATTGCAGTTTTAATAGCAAATATATCATTTTAGCATTCTTGTATTCATATCTGAAAAAAAAAATACTTTAAAACAACATAAAAACGTGTGTTTCAATAATTTACTGTTCATCTTTTATGACTCCCAAGGGATCTCTGTTTTAGAACCTTTTCCTCCCAATTACAGGTGTATATTATACCATGTGGCTGGATTCAAAAATTCCCTTCTGGCTTCACTTAATTTTAGTGTTGTTGTGATTTTCTGGTCCTTTTGTATCATTGAATCAATTTTATTTCTATATGATGAAGATAAAATATCAATATGGTACTTTACACAGGCTCCCTTAAAAGACTGAATGAAACTGACTTTTTAATTTTCATAAACTATTTTATATGCACTAATGGCTTTCCATAGATTAATTTTTTCCCCGCCAAAAATGATGTCAAAAGGTCAAGTGACATGTAATGGAGGTTGAATGACGTCAGCACCTGTCATTTTTAGCTCGACTTTTCTATGAAAAGGGGAGCTATCCTACTCGCCCCGGCGTCGGCGTCGGCGTTAGCGTTGGCGTCACACCTTGGTTAAGTTTTTCGTACCACCCCACTTTATTTCAGAAGTATTACAAGTATGGCTTTGAAACTTACCATACTTGTTCACCATCATAACCTCCATCTACAGACAAGAGTACATAACTCTGTCAAGGTTTTTGACAGAATTATGGCCCTTTTTTGACTTAGAAAGTGTATTGAGCTTGGTTAAGTTTTTTGTACCACCTCACTTTATTTCAAAACCATTGGAGGTATTGCTTTGAAACTGACCATACTTGTTTACCATCACGACCTTCATCAACAGACAAGAGGACATAACTCTGTCAAGGTTTTTGACAGAATTATGCCCCTTTTTGACTTAGAAAATACATTGAATATGGGTAAAATCCACTTATTGCCTTAACCCTTTGAGATATTGCTTTGAAACTTTTAATGCTATTTCACATCATTACCCCCATCTGTACGCAAGAGAAGGTAACTCTGTCAAGGATTTGTTTTAAAAATTAAGGCCTTTTATCGACTTAGAATCTTGGTTAAGTTTTTAGTACCAGTCCACTTTTTGACTGAACTGTTTGAGATATTAATTTGAAAGTTGGAATACTTGTTTACCATCATGGTCCCAAAACATGGGCAGGAGAAGGTAATTCTGTTAAGGATTTTATTTGAATTATGGCCCTTTTTGACTTAGAAACTCAGTTAAGATTTTCATTCTTGTCCACTTGTTGACTTAACCATTTGAGATATTACTTTGGAAGTTGGAGTTCTTATGTGCCATCATGAGACCTATCTGTAAGCAAGAGAAGATAACTCTGTGAAAATGTTTCTTGATTTGTACTTAGAAATTCCTAGTTAAAGTCTTGTGTGCCCTTAACTGTCAAAGTTTTGTTTTATAGGCAAGCACTAAAAAAGTCGAGCGCGCTGTCCTTCTGACAGCTCTTGTTATATATGCATTTAATATCAAATGGACTGTTCCAAATTCAAAGCAGGGCAAATCAATTACACAAATTCAGCCGGGTAAGGTTTAAGAAAATAAACGCTTAAATATAAAAAAGAAGTAGAAGTCTTATTGTATAGATGTATTTTCAGGTTGCAAAGTTGCCGTCAGAAGCCGAGGTTGAGGGTTTGTTGTTGCCACCGAGACCACCGAGCGATGCCAGTAAACCTAGCAGGAAGGCCCCACGAGCCCGCACACAGCACGCCAACAGTGTAGAGGGTTCTACTGTATCAGAATCTCAGAAATCAAGGAATGGCACCTTATCAGACGGTATGGTGATTGTTTTATACCTCAGTATATTACGTCAAACTTTGTAAATTGTATGAAAAAATGGCCATTTCTTACAAAAAACAGGTTTGAATTGGCACAGCATCCTTTAACATTTATAAGAAAACTATCCCACTGGTATTAACAGTAACTGAAATACTGTTGAACAGGCCTATATCATTGAATATTATGGATCAAATGCTGGCACACTTTTTTCATCAGACTTTGCTGTATTGACTACTGTATGTTTTTGGAAATAATTTAAAATGTGCTTCTTATATATACAATTAAGACATATTTTATTTGATGTTTTGTATTACAGACTCTCCATGTAAAGAAAGTGGTCAAATAACTCCAGAACGTGTCGGCAGTGGGAATAAAGAGCGGAGTCTAGCTATAGAAGAAAGGGGTGAAGGTGATGGAAAGGAAGCTCCGCCACACAGAGCACCAAGTGCGGCATCTAACACACCTGTTTCAAGGTTGGTTTATGTAATGTCTAATTAAAATTTGTTTAGAAATTTATGAATGGTAAAATTATGTTGTGGCCATGATATTATGGTTAATTCTCAACAGAGTTGTAGCAAAGAATGTCAAATATTTAACACACATGAATTGTACATAAACAGAATAAAATGTTTTGGAACAAATTATTATGCTGCTCTTTTAAGAAGTGTTTTAACTGTTTCACAATGATTTTGTACATGCATAGCATTCAGCATCTGCTCTTGAGGATATAGAAACATGTTTTTTTTCAAGTAGTTATTTTCAAATTACATGCATTTATTTTTTCAAATCTCAATCATTTTGTTAATTATATATGAAGGAGATATTTAGTTTCATACACTCATAAAATTATAGATACATGCAGATATACATTTAAGATAATGTACTATATAAAATAACACAGAAAGTGTTCAGTCCTTTTTTGGTGTCCTTAAGTTTTCATTAAAGACCAAAGGATTATGGCAAGTGTAATGACAAGTAATGTTGGTTAAATATCTTACAGTGTGTCTAGTGTTCGTACTGATGTAGAGGAAAGACTTGGAAGTGGTGGATCAAAACGTACTGGTCATGATGTAGAAGCCAGGGTTGGGAGTGGTGGCTCTAAGCGTGGTGGTCATGATACAGACTCTAGAGTGGGGAGTGGTGGAACCAAGAGGACTTCTAGCGCTGGTAGTAGAGGAGGTAAATATATTCCCATTATTTAACAAGTGTAATAACTGTCTCATGATTAGAGATATATCAGGTATAGGCTTTAACCTAGAGCAATGATTTTCAAAGCACTACCATCTTAACAGCCCAGGACAATAGATAAGGTTTCTATGGATGTACCAATTTAGCCTTTTATTCTTTGATACATTTTGCCTTATTTTAATAGTACAAATGTAAGTGAAGCATTTTGCTATATCCCCTTTGCTACATTGAAATATTTTTGTCAAAATACAATAATTTTATGAAAATTAAATGAAGCAATACAATAAATTAATGTAGTTGAACATTGAAATAGATCAAAGTGTTTGACTGATTATTGATCATCTGCCCCTCTATACTATGTGTTGGAATCCCCTCATGGACTATATCTTCTTTCTTGTAAGGGAGCTCACCGCCTTGATGACAAAATACCATTGGTTCTGTTGGTGCCCACTAAAAACTGAAAACAGCTAATGCATTTATAAGGTCACCTGTTGTTTTCTTCTAGAAGTAAAACTTGTTATTTGTATATTTTTCAGGTAGTGCAGGTAAAAGAGAAGATGACAGTCAGGAAGAGCTAGAGTTTTATACCAATCATATATCACCACTACTAGAATTAATGGCAGAATACAGTCAAAGTATATTTTCTATAGCTTAATTAAATGTAATTAGGTGAAAATTTGTTACAAAAGGCTCATATTGTGAAAACATTATATGAGCCGCGTCACGACAAAACCAACATAGTGTGTTTGCGACCAGCATGGATCCAGACCAGCCTGGGCATCCACGCAGTCTGATCAGGATCCATGCTGGTTGCTATCAGTTTCTCTATGTGTAATAGAGTTGGTAAGCGAACAGCATGGATCCTGATCAGACTGTGCGGATGTGCAGGCTGGTCTGGATCCATGCTGGTGGCAAACGTAATATGTTGGTTTTGTCGTGACGCGGCTCATATGTACTGTTTACTGTGAATTTCATCATACATGTAGATAACAGTTAATAAGTAGTATGCAAGAAAAAAGACTTAAATACTGGCTATTGTCACAGACTGAAATATTCACACCTCGGACAGCTGTTATATAGGAACTTACAAGCACCCTGTTTTTTTGTATGACTAACATTACTCTTGAGCCATAAAATTCAAGTCTGTACCATCATCCTGTGTAAGATTCTCATATGCTTATCTCCTTATTACCACATATTAAAAGGTTTATGTTTTCATAATTTCAGAAAAAGATGTTCAAAAGATCATATCTTTGTCAGAAGATCTTTATCAACTTCTGCAGAAAAATAATTTATTGTCCAAAACCTACAAACAACGATCTAGAATTCTCAAATCTATATTTAAAATGTTAGACCTTGAGGAACCACAATTGTTACTGCAGCTTGCGAGACTCATTTTGGCAGTAAGTACAACCTTTTATTATTTATATACATTTTTTTTGTTGAAATCACAGCCTTTGAAACACTTACAGTTATAGAATTTTGTAATGTAAGTTAGTCAAGGTCACTAAGGGAAGTTGGTGTGAATTAAGATAGCACTGCTGGCACTGAAACTTCTGGCATTATTTTGTTTTTGTCTTCGCTGTCTTTATCAGTTCATCTGTCTGCATTCAGCTTGATCCACTTTCATAGGTCAAACCGCTGGCGTTACTTCGACAACACTGAGTGATCAATGCCATACCTAGTTGTGGGAGACATAGTTTTTGTGACAAAAACCCCCTTCTAGTTTTCAAAATACTTTTTATGTTTTGAAATTAAGGAGTACTTGGATTCTAATTGGACCAAGTAGAATTTTTTTATGAAATCTTTTGACCAAAAATAAATGAATTTTTTTCTTTTTAAAAGAATGTTGAAAAGTATAATTGAAATTATTGAATAGATTAAGCATTTTGGTTTTATTGACTCCAAATATTACAGTGATTTAATGGATAATAAATTTCAGATAGTAGCAGAAGATCTGGTACTTGTTTGATTTCTGAATTTTCTGTATATTGCATTTCCTAATTTTTGTTCAGTTTATTTGTTAGTTTATGTTTGTTCATTATTATACAGTGATTAATTTCTAAAATGAATTCTGAATTTAGATATTTTCTGGATAAACATGGGACAATGTGTTTTAAATATTTTATTTATTATACATATACAAGTAATAGAAATGCATGATATATATCTGTTGCAATATTTAAGTTAGGTTGTACAGATTTATTCAGTCCTTTATATAACACGCTTGAAATGAAGCCTTAAAAACATCATGTATATATCATCAGTAGTCAGCTAGGCCAGTTTTCATGTCATGTTGTTTGACAAGACAGGGGCGTCCCTGGCCGAGTGGTTAAGGTCGTTAACTTCAAACCACTTGCCCCTCACCGATATTGGTTCGAATCTCGACAGGGACTTTGTATTCTTTCATGTGAGGAAGCTATCCAGCCAGCTTACGGAACGTTGGTGGTTCTACTCAGGTGCTCTTGCAAAGGAAAGTTTTAAAATCTGAGCGATACAAGCTTATATAAGATAAGCAAAGTTAAAGACAAGAGAAGTTTACTAGTTCTGATATATATAAGTTAAAGTACTGTTTCAATACATGTATATATGGGACCTATTTCCAGTTCTTAGTAATTCATCACTCAGAAAATTTTAAGCTAATTTGAACCTTTTCCCAGCTAAAATTGTTTAATTTAATAAAACTTTTGTCTGAAGCGTTATACTAATGAAGTATTCAAGTATAAAAATATTGTAACAAAGATGTGTACAGTATAGGCAGAGTCCTGCAAGACTGCATGTATGTGCAGACATGCTGCATTTTTTTTGCTGATGGTACATGTGATTATTATTGCCTATAACATTTGATATTTATGTGTAAATGTGTATATTTTCAGTTCCGTGTTGGTGGTAACAACCTTTTAAATGTGTGTAAACTTGTGTTCAAAGTCAGCAGAAATGAGAAAAATGATCCTGCATTTTTAGATGGCAATATATTAGGTATTACTCACATTTCTTTACTTTTGTAATTTTCCGTTTCAGATCTAGTACAAAATTACTGTTAATTTTATGTTATGTGTCAGTATGGTTTTTATTGATTAATTAGAAGATAACACTGAAAGTTTACCCATTATCATAAATTATGTTTAATTATTTAGCAGAGGTACTGATCAAAGTGAAAGTGGGTATTCACTGTAAAAAAGTAAAATATCTTACTGGTAAATATATGCTGTGTGTGGGGGTGTCCCTGGTCAAGTAGTTAAGGTCATTGATTTCAAACTACTTGCTCCTCACTGCTGTGGGTTCAAATCCCAACAGGGACTTTGAATACTTTCATGGGACAGGAAGCTATCCATCTACTTTACGGTACGAAAGTGGTTCTACTTAGATGCCAATTTGTGCCTGAAATTAAAACACGGGAGGACACCTGAGGTCTTCCTCCACCAGTAAAGCTGAAAAGTCATCATATGACCTATACTGAGTTGTTTCGACGGAAAACAAAACCAAAAGAAATGTATTGTATGCTCTGCAGTACTTTAATGAGTTTTTCATTAGTTAATAATAAACATTTGTTTGATTTTATTTTCAGAATTACTACTAGAGACAATGAATGGTGTTGATATTCTAGGAACCCACGAGGCATTGATTTACTGTGTTGGGTCTTTAAAATTCCTTACCGGAAATGCTACTATAGCTAAACAATTAGTACAGAAACATTGTATAGAAAAACTTTCCACACTCCTTGACAGTATTATTAAATTGGTGAGTGTGTATTAACTCTCTTTGAAAAATAATTATTTGAATTTTGAAAAGAAAAAAGTTAAAAAGGACTATTTATAATTATGTGTAACTTGATTAAAACTGTATTTGAAATGGCAGCATAATATTTTTTTACTGAACATTTCATTCTTTTTATGTACAATATTTATTTGTGTATAATAAATTGTTTAAAGCAGGGCAAAACTTTTCCTGCCACCAGTTCTTCTATATAGATTCTAATAAGGTATCTTTCTTAAGGTCAGTGGTTTTAATTAGGTTCTAATTTGAGTTTGAGATGATATACATAAGGGCATTGTTGACCAGTAAAGTGGAAAAGTTAGCATGTACTAAAGCATTGTTAATGTAATATAAAACTTAAAGAAATAAAAAAAAGCAAACCAAAATCTCTGGGACATCTCTGTAACAGCTACCTGATTTTAAGGGACAATCCCAGACGTCAGGGACTTTATGGCATGTATGTTGAAATGTTGATAAATTTGGATAACTTTTGCCTTGTAGATTGGAGAGAACAGTCATAATCCGGAACAGTTAGGCAATATATTGGTACAGTTGACAGCTGCGTTACGAAACTTGGCTGATACAGGGTCTAGTCGTGACAAAATTCTCAACTGTAGATTATTGGATAGTTTAACATTGGTGTCAGACAGCTATGCTGGTGACTGGGAAATTGTCCTCAATGTCTCCAGAATATTCAGGTTGGTTTGTCATCTAATATGTTTGACAAATCCATAAATCCAAATAAACATTTTTTGTATTGTAATTAAAAATTTTGCCATCTTATGTTAGTGATGAATTGTGATTTATATTGTAAGCATATGAAATGTTGATTACAAAATTCATGTACATAAACCAAAATTTTGATGTTTAATTAGTTTGACTATATTAAGAATAGGGTGACTATATTAAGAATAGGGAGAGCTACTGTATTCACCCCAGCTTCACTGTCACACTTATGTTAAATTTTTGCAGAAACATTGAAGGGAAAAGGTTAAAAAAGAAGAGGCCGCTGTCCATCACCCATAACTTTTTACCTGACTTTTGACAGAATTATGCCCCTTTTTGAACTTAGAAAATTCTACATTATCAAAACCTCTTGTTTTACTATCAAACACTGAGAATAGTGGAGCACACTGCCCTACCAATACCTCTTACTTTCTTTTCTGTTGGACTAGAAATAACAATAAATAGAAACTGATAGATATAGCATGTTATATAATGCGTTTAATAAAGAATGTCCTCTTCAAAAAAATAAATAATAAAAAAAATCATTAAAAGAACTATACATGAGTTTGTAGCAAATCCCATAAACTATTAAATAAACATTGATTTAATCATTGAAAACTTGCTTGTAATTTGATAAGCATTTTCAATTTTCTCTCATGAATTATTTATGTTTAGATCTTTTGTAGCTGATTAAATATTTATCATTATGTGTGGTTGTTTTATTTCAGTAAAGTCACATTACATACAGACTGTTGTATGGCCTTATCGGAGAATGTTTTATCATATAAAGTATTCCTGCATCTATTAAAGAAACATTTAAAAAGACAGGTATGTTTCAATTAAAAATGCTATTCATGTAATGTTCTTTTACAAAAAGCAAAAAATGATGCCATGAATATGTTGTTTTTATTGGTACACATGTACTATTATAAAATATATATGTATGTATTGACAATCAGCTGAGTGGTTCCATTACCGTTTGATTCATCAATTAAGTTTTATCATAGTATCCTCCAGGTGTGAATATGAGAGTTTTAGCATGGTTTGGTTTTGATTCATACTGACAATGTATAAGTCAATTGACAACTTCCCAGCTTTATTTGTAAATGCAGGCCTCATGTGCCCCTCTATACATGAGTTAGAACCTAATAAGAATTATTGATGGTCTGTCCATTAGCTAGCTTAACAGCTTTCTTCAATAAAAGTATCCAATATCTCCAATGCAGGACTTAAACTTATAGCAGTGAGCGGCAGTTAATTTCAAGTTTGGCTATCTTTTCATTGTATGCCCAAATTGCCAAAAATATTTTATAATAAAAAATTCATAATTAAATATGTACATTATATGTTTAAGGGACTTTAGAATCAAACAAATTATTCTGCCCACTTAGCTCAATAGAAAGCATTGGATTTGTAATCCAGGGAACGCTAGTTCAATCCTTGGGGGAGGTGAAGTTTCTCCATGACAAATGATCTGGTTTAACCTGGCAGCTGAGATATGACCAAAATGTGCTAAGATTTGCATGAAAAGTACAGTGTCACCGATTTTAAATTGCTCACCATTTTGGGTTTGACAAATAAACAAGGTAATTATCTATAGTTTGAAGTAAAATGAAAGCTGACCGGATGACTGTTGGCATATGTCAACTATAGGAGATTTAAGAGAATGAAATTTAAAACAAGGGTGATTGTGATTAAAAGAGAAGTGTTCATTAAAAATTATGTTTTTGTTACAGGATATTGTAGTACGTGTTTCATTTATCCTTGGTAATATGACAGCCAAGAATGATAATGCTCGTGTTCAGCTCTTCCAGCAACCTAAGTCACTAGATATCCTTCTTACAGTATTAAAGACACACCTTGAACTTGATTATAAGGTAAGTGTTTTAAGGAATCAGGATTTTGATGTTCAAATTATTGTTTTTCATTTTTCCAATATTTGTTTTCACAAAGTTTGCTTGAATCCAACATGTCTCTCTTATTTTGGTCTAAAATTGTTTGTGTTATTTTAATAACTTATTATATATACAATTACCATTTGAATGTATTGTATTGACAGAGTAAAGACTTAATATTTTAGCATGCATTTATAGTTAGGAACTTGATCGTGCAAATACTTTATTATTTTAGACAGCTTAAAGAGTTTCTTGAAAATTTGTTTCTCGTAAGTCATTGATGGTATTCATTAATGTTCTACACAGGCTTGTCTTAAAAGTCATTATTTAAAGTCACTGACAAAGGATTAAAGCTTGAGCATGGATTTCTAGTGAATAATTTCTGTCAGTGAATGCAGAAATTTCCAGCAGTTCTTGTACATTTCTTTGAAGTTCTGAGAATAGTAAAGCACTCTGTGGATAACTCTTGTCATACAGGATAATATTATATTTCAACAAGAACTGTGTGGCTTTGATTGGTTAAAAGATTTTTAACTTCAAGTTTCATATTGATTTGCAAAATATTATTGTTGAACAGGTTTATTTATAACAATGTGGTATTTTTACAAACAAGGCATACTCATTAAAAGTGGCCTTCAGTTTTTCTAATGCTTAAATATATTACTATTAGATAAATTGTTTTCACAATTGTCAAATCAAAAGAATTAAAGTGGAAAATGAAATTTGCCAACCATAAAATACATGAACAATAAGGAAACCCCTTGATACCTTTAATCAACCGGTTCGCTCTCTATGTGTAATTAGTGATGCGGATGAAGGCCACTTTAAGGATACATGTATGTAGGCGGTTCAATTTGATTGATATTTTTAAGACTCTGAACAAGTTTGATATTTTTAAGACTCTGAACAAGTTTGATATTTTAAGAATCTGAACAAGTTTGATATTTTTTAAGACTCGGAACAAGTTTGATATTTTTAAGACTCTGAGCAAGTTTGATATTTTTAAGACTCGGAACAAGTTTGATATTTTTAAGACTCGGAACAAGTTTGATATTTTTAAGACTCTGAACAAGTTTGAAATTTTTAAGACTCGGAACAAGTTTGATATTTTAAGACTCAGAACAAGTTTGATATTTTTAAGACTTGGAACAAGTTTGATATTTTTAAGGCTAGGAATAAGTTTGATATTTTTTAAGGCTCGGAACAAGTTTGATATTTTTAAGACTCGGAACAAGTTTGATATTTTAAGACTCTGAGAACAAGTTTGATATTTTTAAGACTTGGAACAAGTTTGATATTTTTAAGGCTAGGAACAAGTTTGATATTTTTTAAGGCTAGGAACAAGTTTGATATTTTTAAGACTCGGAACAAGTTTGATATTTTTTAAGGCTAGGAACAAGTTTGATATTTTTAAGACTCGGAACAAGTTTGATATTTTTAAGTTTTGGAACAAGTTTGATATTTTTAAGACTCTGAACAAGTTTGATATTTTTAAGACTCGGAACAAGTTTGATATTTTAAGACTCAGAACAAGTTTGATATTTTTAAGACTTGGAACAAGTTTGATATTTTTAAGGCTAGGAACAAGTTTGATATTTTTTAAGGCTCGGAACAAGTTTGATATCTTTAAGACTCGGAACAAGTTTGATATTTTTATGATTTGGAACAAGTTTGATATTTTTTAAGACTCAGAACAAGTTTGATATTTTTAGACTCGGAACAAGTTAGAGAAGAAGGATAAACCAAAGAGTGACGGAGGTAATGAAGATACTAACAAACATGAAGATGTTCTAGTGAAGATAGTGAGGGTTATAGCTAATGTATCTATCAATGATGAGGTGGGACCACAAGTTGCAACCAGCAATCAATGTGTTGAACTACTCATTAGAATATTAGGTAATGTTTTACAGTTTTTACTTCGAGCCTTTATTTAAAACTATTGAAACAAATGGAGAGCTGCCATATTTGATAATGTGTCTGCCTCATAAACAAGGAATCATGGTTGTTAGCCTTACTTTGGTCAAAGCCATGGTTGCTCATAGGACACAAGTATCCTACCGTGACCCAAATTCGGCGTTCTCCTAAATTCGGCGATGTTTTGTTTTTCATCATTCACGTGAGATTTCAGAGGTGAAGGTCAATCATGTTTATGTCCCACGGTCTATTTTTACAACTCCAGTGATTTTCTGCTCTAAATATGGAGATACGGCTGGTAAACATTAAAAATTGTATATGACATGAAGAAAATTGTGTGTTTTACCTGATGCAATTTCAAGTTTATCTATACTTTCCTCTATTTGATTGATAGTGTTGCTTAAAATAATTTGACAGTTGCCGTTTTTTATCTAATATAAAACTAACTATTTTTACTGCCGATCTAGGTCAACATACTACGTCACAATCCCGCCAAAATAAAAAAAATACTGCAACCAATCAGAATCGCCGAATTTAGGTGACGTTTTCAGATCGTAGTAAGATTTTACATCAGCCATATTTGTTTATATTTGGCAACCGCTGAACGATTACATTGTTAGAAACGAACTTAAAGTAACTTTTAAATATTTGTAGTAAAATTATATCAAGTATAATTATAGATTACTGTAGTTTATTGAAAAAGCCATTGACATTTGTTCTTATATCGCCGAATTTAGGTTACACCGGGATATATAGTTTGTTACTTCAATGAATCAGACTTAAGAGTAGTTCAAATAGGTCTAAACCTTTAATAGAGATAAAACATGGATACAAGTTTTAAGGCATTTGCATCATGTTTTACTCCTGGAAGCTCTCTTTTACTATATAAAACCAATTGAAGTATTACAAAAATCAAAATTTCTGATATTTTTAACTTACTCCTTGTGAAAACCTATAAATGGGAGCAAGAATTGACAATCCAAATTTGCTTATGAGTAATGGGAGTTTTATGAAAAAGAAAGAAAAAAGCAGCAAAAATTCAATTCACAACAACTAGAAAATTAATATCATATATGAAAAACAAGTTATTAAAAAATAAAAAAAAAAAAAAATACATTCACAATTTGTACATTTGAAAAGTTATGAAGATTAACTGCATTTGATTTTAGAAACGAAGGACATAGAGAGCAGTGAAGAGCTGGTATTAAACACTGTAGCTTGTATAAACAATCTGTCATACTTTAACTCCAAGCATAGTGCTATAACCACACATCAAATGAAACTAGTAGACTGTAAGTAAACAATTTACTCTCCTTTTGTTAAATACTTTGACTTATAGCAAATATAGGAATATGAAGGGTTTATTGTCGTTGACTTTAATTTATTTTTCACCATTTTGGGTTCAAAGATGTTAAAATGCCATTGTAATAGGAAGCTCTAGACAGCTTATGGAAGGCTCTTACTTACCTTTACATTAATGTTGAACTTGATACCAGTATAATGCCAGCCAGGCCAGCCTACACATTAATGCAGTCTGACCAGGCTTTATCCTGTTGTTAGTTTTGTTTTTGTATTTTGATAATTGAAATCCTTTCAAATTCAAATGGACTGTTCCAAATTTAAAACTGAACAGTTCCCATCGCACAATGCCTGGAATACAATACAGGGAGCTAACTGTGGTCTTCTTCTATTAGTAAAGTTGTGACTTAAAATAAAATTCAGTAGTGATTTCTTAATTATTGAATTAATTTATCGTCTACAAATTTTTTTAATGACTGTTAAAGTGTGTTTGTTTACTTTAGTTTACCTTCTAATGGTTGAAACACATGTGGGAGATAAAATATTGTTTATACATGTCTTTAAAATACTTAAGTTAAAATAAAGAAAACAATGCAATACAGTTATATGCATGTAATAAATGTTCCACATTTTTAAAAATCTGTGTATATTGATGAAAATCAAATCTTAGACCATAAAAACTGATAATTATGACAGCTGTTATAATATATACATATATAATGTATTGTTACCAATTTTGTTACCCATTTAAAGGTTTAATGAAGCTTGTGTTAGGGGAAAGTATGATGAAATCTATCGTAGAAGTTTCCAGAGTGTTTGGTAATTTGACTGGCCAGAAACAAGTACGAGATTTTCTACATCAGCAACAAGGTAAACTTAACTTTCTGCTTATTCTAGTAAAGAATTTGTCTTGACCTTGATTGAAAGATATTTCTTATATAGTTTCTTCTTTTCTTACATAGGAAAAGAAGGAAAATCTTATCCAGTGTACAAAATTCTCTTTAAAATTTGTGAAAAAAAGATGATTTTCCTGTTGAGTGTTAGTTTTGCTTGTTAAGGTCATGTAAAACAAAGAAGAAACTATGGGAACATCTTTAAAGATACTTTTTCTTTGGAAGTTTTCAACATGTTTAGTGAAATAATATGTTTCACAATACTGAGTAATTACAGATAGTCAAATACTATGAAAAACAGCAGGATTTTTAAGAATTACTTCATTTCTTGATAGTTTGATCTTTACAGTGAAGATATGTCTCAACACCCCACCCCTTGCTTACACTACCCAACCCCAAAAAATGAAAGAAAAGTAACACGCAAGCATCAGACAGATAACAGACTGAATTTGTAAAAGTTTAAGAAATTAGAATCTTTTATTTACATATTTCTTTGCACATGTATGACAATTGTATTCTTTTCTTGTTTACTTTAGTTGATAAAGTTCTGATCACTCTGCTGGACTCTGGGGACAAAGAGGTTGTCTATATTGCCTGTGGTGTTCTTATCAACTTTATGGTGGATGAAGAGAAAAGACATGTACTGAAAAAAGAATCGGGCATTACAAAGTAAGTTATTGTTATATCGTAAAAAAAATAAACTATTTGTATGTTTTGTAAGTGGTGTAAAAGCCTGACACATTTTTGATACACTGAACCTGAAATGATTTAAGGTTTGTTAGTAATATGACATCACTGATTGAACTGGTTAAGAAAAGTAAAGGTAAGAAAAGCAAGGAAGGTTAACCGTAATCTGTTGAATTTTTTATATGGACTTGTCTTGTTTTAAATTTGGATCAGTCCTTTCAAAATTTCAGGGATTTCAATATAGAAATATAAAAACCTTGGGCTACAGGCAGTATAGAGCCTGGTGCCTGGTCGGACTACATGGATGTGAAAGCTGGTCTGGCTCTTTATTTGGCACAAAGGCTTGCACTTTCGGTACCAGTAGGCTAAGGGTTAATATGTATGGTGAAACCCTTATTGAGATATATTGTGATACAGACAACCCTTATTGTGATACACTGAAGTGTTGGCTGGCCTAGCTCTATGCCAGTGGTGAAGGCCAATCATTTTCAGTTACAGCAAGTTTTGACCTAACAAAATATTTTCAGTGATTCGATTTCAAGCTTATCTCTGCTAAAGGCAGTTTGTCCCTCATCCTGAACTTTCCTTTTGTTATATAATTTCTGCAGATGAAAGGTTATGACATAGAAAGTTTTATCATGGAAAATCTGATTGACCCACAAAATGACATAATTTATTATTACGTATGTACAAAGTGTCGGACAGAAATATTGTATAACAACAGTTTGTTTTATGTAACTTAATGTTGTAAGCCAAACACACAGCATGGTATATTGTCACCTCGGTGCAGGATTGGGCTAACCCCTATTATATTATATAAGGAGTTAACCTATTACTGCAATTAGGTGAAAATATCTTGTTAGGTGTGTTCTACATTAGACCTTCATTCTTTGCTGGAAATGTAGATCACTTTGTAATTGTCACCATGTGTCATCAACAGGCATGAAACAATATATTCATAATAAGTAGGGATGGCAGCAATTGCCAATTTCAGTACTCGGTCATTCTACATGGCTACTCTGAAAAATTTCTTATAACTTTAAAACTATGTGAGTACTTGATTAACCAGTTTCTTGTTGCCATCCTTACAGTGACACGATACTCATATTTTCACTGTCGAGTTGTGCTGAAGTAGCTTTATAGTTAAAAAAATTGACGATTGTAAGTAAATGTTCATTGCCCAATAATTGGATGGGCATATCACTTTAATAAACAGTTCAGCTGCAGCAGCACTGTAGATATCATATCCATATTCCGGTAACATATTTCTATTTTTTTATGTTACAAAGTTACAAAAACTTCAGATGTTTCTGACAGATATTACGTAAAGAGGTCATGACTGTAATATGTCATTAATCACGTTTTTTTTTACGTTTTTTTTTCCTTCTTTTTTTGCTTTCATAACTTGATTTTATAATACAGATTCATGTTTGTTTTATAACAGTCTGAAAATAATTGTTATGTAAATATGATGTAAAGTTGTACTTTGTATTTATGATGTGCAACTAGTGCAAGACTTGCTTGAATATCCTTTTAAGTATAATCATTAGTGATAAAACAATTTATTGATTACTGTCAATTATCAGTCACAAAAGCCTGTGAACAAATTATTCAGTACGCATTTTGAGAAAAAATAGAAGTTGTAAATTAAATTCTATTTGTAATTTTTGTCCCTTTATGGCCCTTTGTTGATTTTTTCACTATATACCATATATGTTGTCAGTGGGGGAATCCGTGTCTTTTGGACACAGTTCTAGTTTATTAAATTATTAAAATTTTGTATATTCAAATTCGAAGATTTTATTATTATGTTAGAATTTTGTATATATAAATTCTAGGATTTTTTAGCTCACCTGAGCATGCTCAGGGTGAGCTTTTAGGATCGATGATTGTCCGTCGTCCGTCCGTTCACATTTTGTTGTTAACACTCTAGCGGTCGCATTTTTACCTCAATCATCATCAAACTTGGTCAGGATGCTTATCTAGTTGATAGCTCGGATGAGTTCGAACATGGGTCATCTCGGATGAAAAACTAGGTCACAAGAGCTAAAAATAGAAAAACCTTGTTAACACTCTAGAGGTCACATTTTTGCCTCAATCATCATCAAACTTGGTCAGGATGTTTGTCTAGGTGATAGTTCGAATGAGTTCGAACATGGGTCATCTCGGATGAAAAAGTAGGTCACCGGAGCTAAAAATAGAAAAACCTTGTTAACACTCCAGCGGTCACATTTTTGCCTCAATCATCATCAAACTTGGTCAGGAAGCTTATCTAGTTGATAGCTAGGATGAGATCGAACATGGGTTATCTCGGATGAAAAACTAGGTCACAAAAGCTAAAAATAGAAAAACCTTGTTAACACTCTAGAGGTCACATTTTTGCCTCAATCATCATCAAACTTGGTCAGGATGCTTGTCTAGGTGATAGCTTGGATGAGTTTGAACATGGGTCATCTCGGATGAAAATGTAGGTCACCGGAGCTAAAAATAGAAAAACTTTGTTAACACACTAGCGGTCACATTTTTGCCTCAATCATCATCAAACTTGGTCAGGATGCTTGTCTAGGTGATAGCTTGCATGAGCTCAAACATGGGTCATCTCAGATGAAAAACTAGGTCACCGGAGCTAAAAATAGAAAAACCTTGTTAACACTCCAGCGGTCACATTTTTGCCTCAATCATCATCAAACTTGGTCAGGATGTTTGTCTAGTTGATAGCTAGGATGAGTTCGAACATTTGTCATCTCGGATGAAAAACTAGGTCACAAGAGCTAAAAATAGAAAAACCTTGTTAACACTCTAGAGGTCACATTTTTGCCTCAATCATCATCAAACTTGGTCAGGATGTTTGTCTAGGTGATAGCTTGGATGAGTTCGAACATTGGTCATCTCGGATGAAAAACTAGGTCACAGGAGCTAAAAATCTTGTTAACACTCTAGTGGCTACTGTTTTGATCTAAATATCCTGTAAATTGGTCTGAAAGTTTGTTTTGATGATTTCTAAGTCAAGTTCGAACATGGGTCATCTTGGATGAAAAACTAGGTCACACCGCCCAAATATTGAAAAACCTTGTTAATATTCTAGTGGTCACATTTTCGACTCAATTATCATCAAACTTGGTCAGGATGCTTGTCTAAGTAATTGCTCGGATGAGTTGGAAATTGCATGTGAAACTAGGTCACCGGAGCTAAAAATAGAAAAATCTTGTTAACACTAGTTGCTACTGTTTTGATCCAAGTATCCTGGAAATTGGTCTGAAAGTTTGTTTTGATGATTTCTAGGTCAAGTTTGAATATGGGTCACCTGGGTAAAAAACTAGGTCACACTGCTCAAATATGGATAATCCTTGTTAACATTGTAGTGGTCACATTTTTGACTCACCTGTCATGAGACTTGGTCAGAATGCTTGTCTAGGTAATTGTTTGGATGAGTTTGATGGGTCAGGTGAGCGATCTAGGGCCATCATGGCCCTCTTGTTTTATCATATAAGAAGTTTGTATATTTAAATTTACTGAAAATCATGTGATAGTGGTATGATAATTTCAGATTGGTAGAGGTATTACGTGACTTTGGACGTGGAGATTGGGAGCTGGCAGGTATGGTGTGTCAGACATTGTGGAACTACAGTGGTAAAATCACCAGCAGTAATGCTTGTTTTGGTCATATTGAAGCTCAAGAACTAACCGAGATCCTTGTGGATTTCTTAGGTAAGGTTATACTTTAGAAAATAAAGAAGCAAATCATTAAATTTCAGTTTTTTATTTTGAAAGATGGACAAACTTGTTCAAGATATTTAGCGTGGTAAAGGTTAAAAATTAGTTATAAGCATTTCTAAATTCAAAGCAGGGTATTGTCTATTATACAAGTAACACGTTGACATAAATTTCAATTTAAAGGGACTCAACTGAGGTTATTTGACAAAATAGAACCAAATTATTTTTTCGACATTAATATATCATTAGATAAAGGTCTAAAATATCAGATCATTTGCTCACTCTGTTGTGCCAGGCTAATCAGTCTGATTGTGGAAAATGACCCAGAATTAAAAAGCAAGCAACACTTTATACAGATCAAGCTAGAAATAGCATAAAAAACGATTCTGAGTATATCTATTTAAAGTGCCCAGCTGATTTTTGTAAGAAGTTCAAATTTTATGTTTTTAGGCTTTTGGTCCTCAGTGGAGTTCCTTTAATGTTTATCACCAGTGAAGTATTATTTTGCTATTTTACAGACAAGGAGAATGTATATGATTCAGAGTTAACACAGATGGATGAAGACTTGCAGGAGTACATCATGGATTGCTGGGAGACACAGTTCTGTCCTGTTGCTGAACAATTGTTAAATAGAATAGAATCCCATAATTCAAACTTTGAACCTCTTCCCTCAGGCGCCAGCTAATAGTCACCACTAGAAATTTGCTCCTGGATTTTATTGATATAAGATGAGAAAAAAAAATAGAAAAAAGTAGTGAGAGCTATGGCTTATTGTTAAAAGGAAATTTTTATCCTTGTTTCTGTGTGGCTAATTTTATCTTATAATGAAGAAAGTAAAAGGAAATTTAAGTTTAACAGCTTGTTTCCTTCAAGATAGGACTTGCTGTGATCAGTTAGGGAAACATGAGGAGAAAGGAATGAGTTTTTTTGTGAAGTATTGGCATTATATAGATATATATATATATGTATTATAAAAGCTTTATTTATTTACACTCCGTCCATTGTTTACAGATAGTTTCTTTATATATATATTTTTCAAGCTTCAAGTGGCTTAATTTAGAGGACCAGCATGATAATTGTGATTTTCCTTTGTCATGTTTGTCACCAACATAGAACTATGTCAGTCTGGACATCAGTGAATTAAGAGCAGGTTCTGTGTTGTTGTACCAGGTTCTGTGTTGTTTAGACCAAGTTATGTGTTGTTTATTGATCAGGTGTTGTTGTTAAAAAATTCTCAAATTAACAATGTCGATGTTTGCAAGAATAGTACATGATACAACAAATTGGTGGTAGAGGAATGTTTCTCAACCAGTGAGTATTGACATTTGCAGACTGCAGTGGCTTGTAGTTAGAGACGATTTTTTAAATTCATTAATGCATCACATTGTTGTGAAATTGTAAGTCTTGTATGCTACACATACATACCTTATTTCTCCTTTTATAAGTACCCTGGTGTCAGGTAAAACACTCACAATAGTGGATTTATTTGAGGAGAATATTTTCATTTTTTTTTTACTTCTTCACATTACTTCTATGTTCTTAAGTGCAAAAAACAACAACATATGGTTGTCAGATAAACGTGACGCAACATCAACAATTTCTTGTAACATCCTTGCAATTTTTGTTGGGTTAACATCTGGCCAGACAATGCCGAATGTAATGAAAAAAATAGGTGCATTTGCTTTTATTAAGAGAAATACAATATCCAATATATATTAGGTAGGTGCTTATTTACATGCATCATGTTCCAGAATCCTGTTTTGCTCATTTTTTACACATCATTAATAATTTACATTTAGCTATGTTGTGTTATTTTCTCAAGGCCTATGTCATATATAAGATGTCTATGTTATGCAAATGTAAGCCAAGCTTGGCCTGCTGTAGGAACTTTGAAAGTTTGTGATAAATGTTAAATTTGTCTATATCAGGTACTTTATAATGTTTATTTTTTATCTTAAACATTCCATTGCATAATAATATTATACGGGGAAGTCAAAGACCGGGCCCGCGAAGCGGGTCCGGGTTTTGGCTTGCCCGGCTATAGACTACACGTATATATTTAAAAGAAAATCAAATAAAAAACAATTAAAAAATATATAGAATTCTATACCTATCAATGAAATTTTCAGTGTCAGTTCTAGTCGGGCGCCGCCATTTACAATGTAACTCAATGATAATAGGCGGGGTATTCCGATAACGGAACAAATCTCAACTTTTCGGATAAATAATAAACGTCGAGTGTTCCGAGTGAAAACGGAAGCGGTGCATGTAATACCGAATGACACCTTTAAAACGGAAAGAATGAAAGGACTTTTTAACGACTTCCCCGTGCATAGGCTTTGCCTAATTTCATATTAACATTCTTTATTTAAAAAATGTATTATTAGTTTTCATATGTTATAACTGTTTCATTTTTACATGAGAAAAACTAAAATTAATATGAATTTAACTATTGCATCATGCATAATGTTGAAAATATATTTTTTATGTTCTGTTTCTTTTAACTGATCTTCATTTTTAATCTTGAGACATTATATTTGTCTGAAATGTTCCTAGTACTTCCCCAATGAGTTTCACAAATTTTACAAAATTCAAAATAAAATTCAGCTTTGATGCAGGGGTCCAATTTCATCTTGCAGTCCATTTTCGGTTGATAGTATATATCTAATAAACAATTTCTTAAAATCCTTTTTCTATTTCAAATAATTGAAAACTGTTCTGCTGAAAATGTGCTGTAGAAGCTTTCAAACAGTAACTTTTTAATTTTTCCTTTGAAGATGCAGTTATTAAAGTTGAACGCTTTGGCCTTGTATTGTTTTTATTTACTTTATAATTATGAAGATAATAAGATGTTTTTTTTCAAAAACAAGTATGCAGGATTTTTTAATCAATAATCAAGACCTAATAAAAAGCCAATATTGTCCATAAAACGTAACAGTTGACCTCTACGTATACCTTATACAATAAAAACTTGGTTAATTGGTCAGAAAAAATAAAATGTAATCAGAACAAAATATATTTATGGAACAATGCCACAACCTGAAAGTTGATGTTTTCGCATTTATTATAAAACCTGACTAGAAAGAATAAAGCTGTATGTGACAGCTTACGTTATTGTTTGTCTCATGGAAATGGGGTTTGAGGTATCAAATGTCATTTACAAAGTCTGTATATGACAATTTTACTGATGGAAGTTGAAAATAGTAGGTTATGTTCTTGACAGCCACATTCCTGGTAGCTTTTTTTCTGGATAAAATCAAAGCACTGAAGGCAAGGACAGTATGACAAAGTGTTAAGTTTTAAAGTTTCAGGCATTGATTAATTGGTAATGTTTCTACAAAAAAAACCCAAGAAATGTTGTTTTTTCTTTAAAATAGAGAAATATATAATTATATTTAACAGTAAGTCAAAACATTTAAAATTCTTTAAAGATGAGGTTTTTAAAAAATCTTCTTTGTCTTTTGAGTTACCACCTTCTAATTTATTCTGGTTTTAGAAATTATGAAATTATGGGTTGTCCTTGGCTTGAACTACACTTTAATGAGTTCAGTTAATTGGTTATTTGATATTGATAAATATGTCAGCAGTATAAAATGTGCTATTTTTAGCACAAGCGCCATTTTGCCATCTGCTTCCTTTTCCTATTTGTTTAACTGCTTGGTATTGATTAACTCATTATCAATATTTGGATTCATGTACTTAAATATGAAACAAACGGATTTCAAAATGATATACATGAAAAACAATTTCTCTTATTTTCCAGCTGTTGTTTTTTGTTTTTCTTGATATAATTCAATAGCATTTAGTTTCCACAGTCAGAACAGATGATATCTTTTATTTTCTACAAATCATTTTTCGATACAATATGGGGAAGTTAACAAAATGTTTATACGCGTATAACAGCAATGTATAGTTTTGGTACAAAAAAAGCATAATCATTTAGTCAGTGAAAATACAGTGATACATATAGCATATTTTATCTCAGGATAATTATATAATTATACTATGATTGATATAGCAAATATCTCACTGATTTACACCCAATCCTTATTCATTAAATATAAAATAATGTGTTATATCAGAATTGTCTGTTTTCGTGATGAAGTAAAGCAATACCAGTATGATGCCGAGTTGTTAGAATAATGTAAATATACAGCAATCTGATTAAAATTACATCCAACTGTCATTTCACCACACTTCGCTAGGTCCATAGCGTAGAGCAACAGAGCAAAAATGATGATCTGATTTTAATGATATTGAATAATTATATTGTTTTATCCGTCCAGTTAGAAATTATATCACATATATTAACCATTGGTGACTTATTGATGTATAACATACCTGTTTAGTGATTATTTGGTACTTATTTCTGACATTTGTATTTTATTGAGATTTAATATTTGTACATATCAGAAATGTTGCCACAATTATATATATATTTTTCATATACACATCATGACTTATGTTAAATCTGTATAACTGTTGATAATTTTGTTCAAATGATTTGTTAATTGTTTTAGTGTTATTGTGAGGACACCTGTAATCTAATGTGATAATTACTGTGAGGTCATGTGATAATTACTGTGAGGTCATGTGATAATTACTGTGAGGTCATGTGATAATTACTGTGAGGTCATGTGATAATTACTGTGAGGTCATGTGATAATTCCTGAGAGGTCATATGATAATTTCAGATAATTTGCAGTGTACTTATTGGAAACAGGTTTGAACGGGTTTTATCATCCATGAACAGGTTCAATCCAACTTTCAAATTTTCATGTGGTGATTTGATGTACATGGTGCATGTATATAAAATTTACATGTAAATATTTTTAGAAATAGTATGTTAAAGACCACTTTGTAAAATACCAACCTGTTGAAAAGTAGTTATCATAAGCATTATTGGTTGCAAAAGTATTTGCATCTTTTATACAAATGTTTTGGTGCAATTCTCTGAAGAAAAAGTGTGAAATAATATATAGGAGTACATACAGATATAAAATTGTTATCAAATATACTATTGTATAAAAAAAAAGATTTACAAATATGCATTAGATAGTGAGATAAGTGCATATTTTCCAAAGGGCGCTTAGCCGAGTGGTTTAGGCAGCCCCTGTGGATTCAAAACCCAACAGGGACATTGGATTTTTTCATGTGAGGAAGCTATCCTGCAATGGTTCTGTTCAGGTGCATGCTTGTGTCTGAAATAATGGACAAAGGGGCACCTGAGGTCTTCCTGCACCAGTAAAGCTGGGAAGTCACCAAATTACCTTTATAGTGTAAGAGTTACCTAAAAATCCAACAAATCAAATGTGACACCTTTACAAAATTGTTACATGTACTTAGATTAGTTTTTTAAAAATTTTCTTAGTGAATCTGTAGATTTTTTCACATTATACATATGTTTGTTCTGGAAATGGCCAACCAATAACCGGTCATTTTCTTGTGCACATAATAATGATATAAATAATATTTAATTGCCAAAAGAAAATACAGTATTTTTCAAAATGAAGAAAAATGAGTTGGATAAAAAGACAGTATTTGATATAATAATATAATTGATAATGATAATTATTCATTATAAATTTGTAATAAAATGGTGCATTTTAGGTAGTCCACCACCAGTAAAGCTGATAACTCACCGTATGACCTTAACAGTGTGTGTGTGTGTGTGTGTGTATGGGTGTCTTAAGATTCAGCTGGGACAATTTTTAGACTTGTTCTGATTTCTTAAGTACATGTATAACACTGTCATAGCTTTATGTTGATTCCTTTGGAGTCAAGTCAGATGAATCCTTTATGTTTTCATTATAAGTATATTTATTTTATTTATTATCTTGAGAAATCGTCTGCATCATATTTTTTGTGAATTTTGAATTTTACTTCTGTATATCTTAATTTTTTGTTTGTTTTTGAATGGAGATGCTGTTGAATAAATTTATTAAGATTGTGTGAGTTAGATTTATTAAATTAATTTTAGCGTACCTTGGGACAACATGCTCATGATGAGCAATTGTGATTCTTACCATCTGTTGTTGTGCGTCATCAACAATTACTTTAAACATCTCCTCCTCTGAAACCAATGACTGCAATTTATTACATGTTTTTCGGTGGTTTATAGAAATATATCAGTGATATAAAACTGGTTATTTCACAGTCAGTGTTTTAAACAGTGAAATTATCAATTTGATAATTTCACTGTTTTGAATTTAAGCACAGACACTTGGGGTTTGGAGCTCAAAACGCTTTTAAAATCCAAATAAAATGCATATTTGTCAATCCCAGCACATGTACTGATCATATATATATAAAAAAAACTTAATATAAGCCGTTTTGAAAAAAATTCATATTTCAACATCTATAATAATGCACAAGATAAAAATGTTTGCCGGAAAAAATCCGCACCCCTACCGTCATAACTGGGACATAAGATAAGAAAATGTGCAGTATGCAATCAGTGAAGCACGCTGGTCTTTTGACAGTTCAACAAGGAATAATGGCGCGAAACTGTAATACCGGTGCAAGGATAGAATACAGCCTTTAAAAAACGTACCGTCAATATAATGACATTTTGGTTCCATATGTTGCTACTTTGGTATCATATATTGAAGAACTGGTATCATATAATGTGAACATCAACTTATATATGGCTACTTCGGTTACATACATTGATAAACTGGTTTCATATATTGTAAAATTGATTTAAAATATTGATAATTCGGTTTTATATCAGGGCATCTGGTTCCATATATGACTTACTTGGATCCATATATTGAAGATCTGGTATCATATAATGTGACAATCAACTTATATATTGCTACTTTGGTTCCATACATTGATAAAATGGTTTCATATATTGTAAAAATGAATTAATATATTGATAATTCGGTTTCATATAAGGACATCTGGTTCCATACATTGCTACTTTGGTACCATATATTGAAGAACTGGTATCATATAATGTGATAATCAACTTATATATTGATACTTTGGTTCAATGCATGGATGAAATGGTTTCATATATTGTAAAAATGAATTAATATATTGATAATTTGGTTTCATATAAGTACAACTGGTTCCATACATTGCTACTTTGGTTCCATATATTGAATAATTGGTATCATATATTGTGATAACCAACTTATATATTGATACTTCGGCTCCATACATTAATAAAATGGTTTCATATATTGTAAAAATGAATTAATATATTGATAATTTGGTTTCATATAAGGATATCTGGTTCCATACATGGCTACTTTGGTACAATATATTGAAGAATTGGAATCATATATTGAGAAAATCAACTTATATATTGCTAACTCGGTTTCATACACTGACGGTATGGTTTCATATATTGTAACTGTGGATTAATATAATGGATTCCGGTTAAATAAGAAGGTGTTTTCAAGTCATATATAGTCGAAGTGAACTTATATATTATCCAAATGGTTAAATAAATTGAAATAGAACAATATCAGACAGCCATGGCTTTCCATAGTTCCACCCTTTGTCGTCGTTTCTTGTTATATATTTTCGTGCGTTTTTTTTTCTTTCTAGACAATTATTTCTACTACATGACATGCGCCCTTTTCAAACATCTAAAACTAGAAAATAATACAGTAGAATATTTAATATCTTCAATGATTAAATAGTATTTTTACGGCACAAGTTGTAGTCATTTAAAACTTTTGTATGTTAGAGTTAGCTTGTTATAAATGGGAATTGACAACTTCTTGGCTCAAACACATTAGGAAATCGACTGAACATCTATTAACCAGGAATAGGCTCGAGCTATTTTTGGTTTTCTATATGACGGATCGGCCATCCGTTGTTTCCTATTTATTTCCGTACGATGTACATTTTGGGATAATTTACTGTCCAGTAAGGTAACAATATACTACATTAAAGGCACATTAAGCCTCAGAAACGAATAAAAAATCCATCTTAAAAAAGGGGAAACATGAGTTTTATAGGATTTAAATAATGGTTTTAGCATATGCTAGGTGCTTATCACTTGCAAAAATTAGCCCCGATAGTGAAATTATTTGTCATAAAAGTAGCAAAATGTAAACAAGGCAGCATTTTGACTTGCATACAAAGTATTAAGTCACTAAAACTAATTGCTGAAAAGCAACTGAAGCAAAATATAAATCAAGTAATAAGCCAATGAGTAATGTTTTGAAAACTGTGATATGATAACAAAAATAAAAAGCTTTAGAGAAATAAAATAAAACCATTTTAGGACATAGCGAGCCTTTAAAAGACGTTTGTTATATCTTTCCCAGTTTTTTGTAAAGAACAAAATGCCAGAAAGTTTCCTAGAGATATTACAGGACTAGAAAGTTTCAAGAAGAAAAAAGTCCAAAATGTTTTAAGGATGAAATGACAAGAAAGTTTCATAGGAGAAAATGCCAGAAGAAAATGCACATGTAGATCAGAAGGTTTTCGAGGGGAAAGAGGACAGAAAGTTGGGGCGAGGTTAAGAAAACAAAAAGGACTAGAGAATGTTTCGAGGAAAAAAATCCAAAATGTTTTTTAAGGATGAAAAGACCAGAAAGTTTCTGAGGTGAAAATGTCAGAAAAAATAAAGATCAAAAAATTTTCCGAGGGGAAAGAGGTCTGAAATTTTTTTTTTTTTTTGGGGGGGGGGGGGGGGGTGGGGTGGGTGAGGTTAAGACAAAAAGACCAGAAAGTTCCGAAGGTGGAAAATGTCAGAACTATCATTGTAATCAAGGGTAGAAACAATTTTATAAAATAGCAATGAGATTTATTGCGCAACATTATTTGATTATTATTTGTGAAATGACATTTCGTGAAAACGATCAGGAAATCTTATCAAATAATCTCTTCTTATATGCCCACAAGTTTTTTAGCAAATGAGATTATAATATATAAATATTTGTTTCACATTTTATCCTTAGGACAAAATAGTTTTTTTTCCATTTAAGATCTTTATTTTACCGAAACCCTCTAACAATGAATCCAGTAATTAGAAATCTAATTCTTCGAAGTCAGCTGCCAAGAAATAAACGTAATTTTTAGGTATATTTTTAAATTTTTATTCCGTTACATGTTTCCATGGATACAAATAAGTTCTTTGTATAGTGTGGGGTTTGTGCGTTTTTAATGCTGATTTGTTTTAAATGATTTTAATGTTTTATAAAGTCCACTTTTTAATCCAATTTTTCTAATAGAAATTATGTTTTAGCGTCAACGGCACTTTTAAAAATTAATTGTGTCTTATTATGCAACATTTTGTACGATTGTTCGGTAAATATGTTACATTTTCTGAATTGTTATATAAATATTTTTTTTCTTTATAACTGCATGTATTATTAAATCGATTATCATATCTCATAGCTAAAACAAACTTTAATGCTGCGTATTTTTCTTTTAGTGCAGAAGAACTGGACGCCATATTGTGTCGATAACAGTATCGGAAAGGTGCGTAGAAACTTCTAGTCGTCGTTTATTATAATGCCAGAATGGCATGTCACGTTTATTCTGATGTGACTTTGATAGTTGATGGATATATAAAAACTCGCAACTTTTGGAATTTTCAGAAGAAAGCGAATAGTGATGTGTATTGTACATCTTAGGACAAAATATACAAAACATTACAGTAAGTTTTTATGATTTTATACTTCCTTATTTCTAGTTTTGTGCGTTAATTTTAGAAGGTTTTATTTTGTTTTCAAATATCACTGAAATTATCTTAGTAATAATTTTTATATTTTTAAAAAAAATCTTAGATTGTAATTTTAAACTGTATATACAGTTTTACTTATATGAATGTATAATGTATTTTGTATTTATACAGAAATTCCACAGACGTTGAGTAACGTTAAACTTCAACTAAACTCTACATGATTTTCTTATTTAAAATTTTTTCTAATTCTCTCCTGATTAATTATCAAAAAAGGGACGATGCTTGTTCCAGTTTTGAATTTTTTTATATATCAGTTGATATTTTATAATTCAACTCGACTTTATTTTAAACGTTACCAGTTCTTTCTTCAAAACCGCTATAAACCGTAACATGTTTATATTTGTTTGTTTTTATTTTCATTTTACGAAATCAATGCATGAAATACAGATTGATTGCATACTAAAATACACACTCGGCGCGTATTTCACTTAGGCAAAATTATACATTATCTATGTAAACAAGGCTATATCTATTTCAAATCTACATGTTAACAGCGTGTGCTAATGAATGTTTAAGGAAAACAAGATTCGTGAACTTTTGCCTCCAATTTTACTTATCCTACACAATCGCTTTACTTAAGCGTACCTACATTAATAATTATTGTTAAACATGCTTCAATCAAACAACATACGGCCTATGCTTTTAGATGAGTATTCATTTATTAATTTGCTTTTTAAGCGAATATCTTATTTTCTATGGAACCGTTATAATCTATGGAACCGATATAATATACATGTATGACTATGGTTATAGTCTTATACTGTTATTATAGAAATAATATATGACTATTCCATTAGCTTGTATGATTGAAAAACATACATCGTAGATAGATGCTTATAATGTCGAAAAAAGTATTTTGATTAAAATAATTCCATTTATCTCGCGTCATATTCTCATAAACGAATCGAATAATGCTTACTTTTTATTTATCACTAAAATTACGATTTTATCGAAGTTAAGTTCTGTTTACGAACAAGAAATTTAAATAAAAAAATAATTTAAAATAATTCAAAATAAAATAAATAAAATGAAACATGATACATTTAACGCGGTAGAGAAGAAGTCAAGATTATCTCTATTTTACGGAAGCTTATCAGGGCCTACAGTTGATGATATGTTTTTGCGCTAAGTCGACTTATTTTTATTCGAATTGATAAGATATTTTTGCATTTCTCAATAAAATTTACTCACAAAGATGAGAAACTTTTAGGCTTTCGACTGAATTTTTCTCGATATGCTTGAAGCTTTTGTCTCTTTGACAAAAATCCTGTTGGAACTTCGTGATTTCACGACTTTGCTGAAATATTAAGTAAGACGCAAAGACGTTACTCGCATTGACACATATCTCACGTAATTCAACAAAAAATTTTTTGCAATGATTAAAAACTTCTACGTATTACTTATTAATCATAACGTCTTCATGGAATGTTTTATGTATTACGTATTAATCATAACGTCTTCATGAAATGCTTTTGTCAAAACGAGAAGAAACATGTAGACATGACGAGAAACTTTTAGAAAAGTGGAGGCCCTAATAAGCTTCCGTACTATTTTATTAAAACGAAGTTTATTCATCTTGTTTCTTTTTTATATATAAAGTAGTTTTACACTAATTGTACATCTAAAGAATATTTCTCAAAGAAAGTAAAAATGTAATACGGTGTTAAGTGCCTACCGGTAATTCATTTTTAATGCAGCACCTGTGAAGGCAACTGTTTGAGGTTTTATTCTGTCGGAAAATCAAGGATGATCTACTTATTCTTCTGTTCTCTTCTTATCATATTTTAAAACATTCTCATAAAACCTTCATCATCAAAATGGCCATTGAACAGCATGGCGTTATCTATTTACATACTAGTCACTGTATCAAGTTATTATTTTTGTCGAGAAAGAAAATGATATATAGCAAGGCTTCGGTTATATAAACTTCTTCTTTTTATTTTTTTTTTACTGATAAAAGTCGAAAGCTAAAGAAAACCGTTTCTTTTCATTGATCTGGCTATATAGGCAATATACGGAAGCGTATCAGGGCTTACAGTCGGTGAGATGTTTTGCACCAAGTCAACTTATTTTTATTCACATTGATAAGATGTTTTTGCATTTCTCAATAAAATTTACTAACAAATATGAGAAGCTTTTAGGCATTGCAACTGAATTTTTATCGATTTGCTTGAAGCTTTTGTCTCTTCGACAAAAATCCTGTCGAAACTTCTTGATTTCACGACTTTGCTGAAATATTTAGTAAGACTCAAAGACGTTACTCGCATTGACAAATAGCTCACGTAATTCAACAAAGTTTTTTTTCAATGATTAAAAACTTCTACGTTTTACGTATACATCTTAATGTCTTCATAGAATATTTTTATGTATTACGTATTAATCATAACATCTTCATGGAATGTATTTGGTCAAAACGAGAAGAAACAAGTTGACATGACGTGAATTTTTTAGATAAGTGGAGGCCCTAATAAGCTTCCGTAGCAATATTGCAAATACACCTAAACCCAAACATTACGTAATGCAAGTAATAACTGAGAATTTTCAATTAATAAAAGAAAAATAAAATGGATTAGATATCGGTGACTTAAAGAAAATAGTCAAGATCACTAGTTTAGAAAATAAAATATTTTTCACAGTGTCTGCTTGACCGTAATAAAGTAATGGAAATTTATGACAGTTTTTTTATTTACTGCTCGTTAAAATCCGAGATTACATAATCTCAAATAACTATACTTCTCTATCGATTTTATCTCTTAAATAGCCAAAATCCCTTTAAACCAGTAAAATATACAATGTACCTGTAATGTACGTGGTCTGCGTCCCGTATTTGCACGACTCACTGGACAAAAATTAATGCATTCATTATAAGGTCCGAAACTCCCGGAATTGTATCACTCGGAATTGTATCAATAATGCTTTCTTTGCATAAGATACTTGTACGTTTGAATCAACCATTATAAATGGATATATAGAAATCAAAGAGTGGACTTGTGAATAGGAAGCTATTCCTGCTCTAAGTATGATACTTTTCATAGAATATGGTTATATGTCAGTGGTCATTATATTACGGTGATGCATTTCGCCCGAACTCGACGACAAAAACATACTGTATTCGCCTTGTCGCTCGTCCAATATGGTTTGTCAGGTTGAGAACTTGATCATATGTAATATGTATAGTATTGTACAAAACTTTAAAACAATTTGTCATTTTATTTGAATGTTTGCAATTTGGGAGGCCCTTTGCACTGGTGCAGATAAAATTTACCACACTAGTCTAATATCAAAAATTGTAATCATCTGACCTGAAAAATGATTGCAGACACACACAAAAAATTAAAAATGAGTGATTTTTTCGTAATAGATGTTCTTATTTATCTTAAGCAACATGCACATGAAATATTATTTTTGTAATAAGTGATATATTTGTTATCTTTAACCGAAATGCGCTGGTTTGTTTTGTCTAGAACAATGGGTAAATAAAATCACTTGGAATAAAGCAAAGTTTACAGCATAAGCTGCAACTAATACAATAAAACTAAACGCATTTTGAACCTTTTTTATTGTTTTAATGACAGATAATGCAAAATGACTTCACCCATGCCCGGGAATTGAATCTGGAACCTCTCCCAACATTGTGCTACACAACGTTGCTATAAAAAAGTCTCTTTTTTGTCGGAAGCATAGGTGGATCTTGTACACCATCCCTACCACACCCATTCCCTTAACAGCCCTCTTTCGTTAAATAAATTAAATACAATTCGACCTCTGCAGACACAGATTGTTGTTCTTGTCGTAAGATGTTGCTCTAGGAGGTTGAATTCATTGTAAATAATTTGCTAAAACTATGATTTCGTGGTTAAAAGTTTATCGTTATAAAGATCATGGTCTTTCAAAAGGAAATTTCCTACGTTAAAGACCCTGGAAATTCTGCTGAAGTTGCGCTGTTTATCAGATCTCCTATTGTGACCCCATGTCAACTACCTTAGTTAGGCTAAGTATTAAATATTATCATACTATCATATAAAAGTATCATTAACAAATACAAGCACACATCTTGTTAATGGCAAATGAAATATCTTTGCGATAGTTGTTCGTTAGACCGATCAATATGTACAATACAATATATTTTCTCTTTCTTTCAAAAGATAGTGTGCCACAGAAATGAACATTTATGCCGGTTTAAGTAATTTTATACAAAACTAAATTGTAACAAAATTTTCTACATTTATTTTCAGATAATCTAATTCTCTTGGCGTGACGTCAACTAAGCGCTAACAGACATGGAACAACAGCCTGAGCATCTCAATGTAATGTTTCACCCGGAATACGCTGTTCCAGTATTCGGGTATGCAGTCCCACCCCTGGCAATCATCATATTGTTCACCAACTTCTTCATGGTGTGGATATTACTCAAGAGACATATGCGATCACCGGCAAACACTCTTCTCGTCTGCATTGCTATATCCAACACCTTGGCAATAGTATTTCCGGTTGCTCCTTTTGTTTATTTCTACACTCTTGGATTCTATGAGGACTTTGTTCCGTTCGCTTGGTGCAGGGCGTTTTTCAACCTCGTTCACGTCTTTCCACTTCTGTGTAACATGGCTTCATTATGGTCAACTGTCGCATTGGCGTGTATGCGTTGTTATTCGGTATGGCGCCCTCTACATGCAAAATCCACCATAACACCGGTCAGAACGTACATAACGATTGTCGCAATATATATTTTGTCAACACTAGCGTATACTCCGACAATATTTGAATACACATTCATTCCGCTGTCTGCACCATCACTGATGAACCCCAACACGACAATCGTATCGTGCCACCTACAGCAAACAAGAACCCACTTGTCGGAGTCCTTCTGCAACTTTCATACATGGGTTCAGATTATTTTCACATCATTGCTGCCATGGTTTCTTATAACCTTTCCCGACTTCGGACTTTTGTACAAGTTGAAGAAAACAGAAACTGAACGGAAAATACTGATGGATGAATCATGCGACCACAGAGAGGATTCGAAAGAAAAGCCACTTGTGTCAAAGACAAAATTAATATCCGGCAGACGAATGACGAGTTGGATGATTTTCATCGTTGTTAGCATGATCTGGTTGGTAGAGATTCCATTTGCTGTCAGTTTTACTTTATACCAATCCCACACGAATGGTGATGTCATGCGCAATCACCTTGGAAGCAGCGTTGTTTTTGTTCTGCTTCTGAAATACATAAGCTACCCGATAATATTCATGATTTATTGTTTTATGAGTCAGAAATTCCGACAGACATTTGCAGAAATGTTCATGTGCTCATACAAAAGTAAATATTCTCTACACTCTACGAAGAAAGCTTCCAGGGATTCCTGCTCGGAGTCCAGCAAGAAACAAAGTATATCGAAGCTTGCGTCTGTTTCCTCTGAATGTTGACGTGTAAATTCAAGATCGCGGAGCAGCAACGTAATAATAACATGACACACGCGGAGTGCTGATATAAAAAATTTGAAACTTGACGAACGCGGAGTGGCGATTTTCCAAGAAAATAAACATTGAAAAACGCTGAGCGGCGAAATATCAAAAATATTCAACCATCGAGGGTGATTTCACACGAATATAGTTTATATATATACTATTATGTGTAAATTGACAAGGGTAACAAAAACAAGGGTATCAAAAACACGATCTTTTTTCATGCGATGAATATAAAGATTTAAAAAAAAGAAATAAGAACAGCAACTGTTGTGCATTAACATATGGAAACAAATGGATCATTTTGTGTGACCGCTAAAGAGAATTCGAATGTTGTTCATTTATTTCAAGGGCCAACTTAAACATACTTAATACTTCTTGTGTAAATTTGTGCTGACTATTGTTTGTTTTTTATTTTATTTCAATTCATTATCTGCAATATTTCTTTTGTAACTTTTAGATTCATGTGACGAACTTCCATATTTATAGTTTTATAATATTGTTTTATCTGGAAAATTCACTTAAATTAACAGATTTAAGTTTTTTAAATATTGTTTTAGTATCTATGAACAAGTTTATAGAAAATTCATATAAGGTTTAAACCGTTATGCTAAATCTAATTGCTTTTAATCTTATTTATTTACAAGTGCGTAATTTAGTGTTTTTAGAAGTATTTTACGGTTCACATGTCTTTAAAATTAGTCATACAACTTTGATGTAATGTTTTACAATTAGTTTATGTACTCACGAACTAATTTATGTCTTGTTAAATGAAATGTACTTTGTAATAAATTAAGAAAGCCGTGACCTTACTTTGGAATACCGGTAGTATTTGGTCTTAGCAACACGTTTATTATTGATATAAATGAATGGAAAATTGGTTGTTTGCAAACTTTAACTTACTTCCTATATTAAACATGTTTACTAAAAAGATGGAACCGTCTTCGTGTATGACGTGAAGTAATGGTGACAACAAATGTTCTCCTTTAGCTATTCAAATTAAAACAATCAAATGAACCAAATATGAAAAAAAGAACAATGCGTATTCTAAGTGCTAAGACAATAAAGGAATGCCTTTTAATTATCTTAAGAATGATCTATATTTGACCATTGTGAATTTGTTGAATTGAAAATAGTAATATTCATCACTGATGTCATCGTCGTCATAATCTTCTTCGCAATCTTCTTCTCATTTCTTCTTCATCATCGTTCATTCGTTATTGTCGTCGTTGCCATCATCATATACCACTATCTTCTTTATCATCTTCCTCATCATCATAATCATCATCATCATCTGTGTTATCAATATATATATTTGAGCTATTTATCATATTGTTGAAAATGTGCTAAAATGTTGAATAAATAAATTTTGTTTTGCTTACGTAGAAGTTGCTTTTTGTTAATGTGTTCCTTTTTAACTTGCTTAGTCCAAGAGATAGCGGGGTTTTATTGCAATTTACCGTATCACAAAAAGAAACATTGCCGTTATAAAGTATATTGTTTGTAGTTTCTTAAAACCCTTTTCTTAAGTTACGCAGCTCGGGCAAAAGTACAAAAATTCAAGATGGCCACCAATATGGCCGCCAAAAATTACAAAATACCATATATTTTTTGTTTCTTGATTTTTTACATACAGATTTTGTACAATGTAGTTTTAATTGCACAATATCAGGTAAAATACGGCTAATATTATGATTCAATCAAGCAAAAATGACAATTATATGGCAAACTTTAAAATTATCACTATCAATTTACCAAAAAGTGGTAAAAAAATAGCATTTTTCGACAATATGATGACTTTCGTTTTTCCGTATTTACACAATATAAATGGAATTGCATTGAAATTGTGTGTATCTTATCAGTTTAACATAGCTAGACAAGTTAAGCATAAAAAATCATTATCTGAGCATTTATGAAGTAAGAGTAGAGCTTCAAAAGTGGGTGGGGTAAAATTACCGAAAAAAAATATTTAAAATTACAATGTTCCCAAAACATGCCTTTACATTATAATTTCAGTTCAATTTATAGTAAATTGTGTTTTAATTGCATGTTATTTATTATTTGAACATTTCTTGATAAGTTAAGCATAAAAATTCATTACCTGATCATTTATCACAGATGAGTAAAGTTTCAAAAGTGGGTGGGGTAAAATAACCGAGAAAGAAAGAGGAAAAAAAGAAAAAAAAAGTTCAAAAATATTAAGCTTCTAAAACTTGCCTTTACATTACAATTTAAGTGTATTTATCATCTTATTGAATTTTGTGATAAGAAATATAAAGATTGTATTACATTAAAGAAGAAAGAAACATCATGTCATCGCAATTTAAAATTATCACAAAAAATGGAACCAAAACACATTTTTGAGATTGTGTTGCCATAAGATATATCGTAGAATGAAATTATGTCATAGTTGTCTGTTTTTTATCAGTTGATTATAGCTTGACACGTCATATATCTTAGAGTTTTAAAACTCGGTGGGGGAAAAATAACACCTAAATCGTTAAATATAATGTTCATCAACTTGCTTTTTTTGTTCTATAATATATGTTTAACAGTTATGTGATGGCATTTCATATGATTTGAAAACAAAAAAATTGTATGGATAAATACTTTTTTGAAAAGATTTTTTTATAATGTTCTTCCAGCAAAATTTGTAAAATGGATATTCGATCACATTACATTTTAATATAAACTTTAGTTTTGGTTGACACATCATCAGTATCATTTTAACTTTGACTACTATATTATCTAACATGAAAGAAAAGAGAAATGGCTATTGTCATTGTTTATTAATGAATGTTGTGCAAATATCATACTGAATAAAATCACAGTCATAGAAAATTGCAATAGTGGATAGCAAAAGGTATTTAAGCCTTAATGGACATATCAATTAAACTTAAAACACAATTTAAATACATATATTAATATAAGTATAGATGCATTAATACATTCTGCACAAAAGAAAACTGTCAATTTCAATACTTAAAATAAAAGCAGCATTGTATGCCCCTCCCCTACAAAAAGTTGAGAGGAATTATTATTTGTACAGTGCCATCCCTTCTTCCATATTCCTTACTTTGAGTGTGGTCCGTACCTTTGCGTATTTTGCATAAATTGTGCACTGATGGTCATGTCAAGTCAATAATTATGTCATTCCTGGATGGATTTTTGAAATAACTTAATAAAAATGTTTTTTTTTTTACATTATATCGATGTGTCACATTCAAAAATCAAGTCACACGTGTACTTCCATATTCATATGATTAATAGATGGCGTTGTCTTTCCAACGACATTGTCATTCATGGATGATTTTTTTTACAATTATGCATAACTTTTTTTTTACATTGATCTGATGTGTATCACGCTAAAACAAGATGTGTTGCTTAAAGTCACCCCTAATTTTTCATTTCATGCGTTGATACTCTTGTCTGGTCAACAATTCTGAGTTGCACAGATGTGTTGCATTTTAAGGTCGAACAAGAAATAATCAAGTCTCGAGCTCAAAGGTTAAGGTCATAATTGTCAATTGTCATAATTTGTACATAAATTTGTAAATCTTTGATAGATTTTGGAAATATTATGCGTAAACATGCTGCTTATTAAATGGATCACCATCATCATCATCATTATCTTCCAGATCTCCAGTATCATCTTCATCATTTATAAAGCATCATGTCAGGTAATATTTGATTTCCTTTCAACCACTCCATTTCATATTGTACGACCTTAAGATGTAAACACTACTATAATTATGATAATGTTTCCAAATGTATACAATATAATCTGAGAGCTTAGGTTTCTTGCTATGCAGGTAAAATGCAAGTACAATTTTCATAGATAGATTTAGGGCATGATAACAACAACAAAAGAAGGTTAATAAGCCATGTAATTAAGTCAATCGTTATGTCCATCTGTAGTATGCCTGCCTAGTTCAATGTGAGAGCATTAGATAAGTAATCAAGGAGTCACTTGCTTGATCCTCCGACAAAGTAAATTTCTCTTTGAAAATAGATCTCTAATCGCTTATTCAAATATCATGTGAGGTAAAAAGGGGTCACTTGCTAAGAAATTTGCTACTTAATTATCAAGGAAATCCGGTATGGTGGGCCAAAACATTTGTTATAGAACGCCAAATGTATGTTTCGCCCATTGTTTTCTCATTAGGCTACACACATTCTGTTAATTGTGGGACCATACGCCACTTTTAATGTACTGGCTGTAAAAAGTCACATTGAGCTTTCCATGATGACCTCCGTATTAACACATCTGCGAATGTTTCAAAATTCAAATTTTACTATTTCATGCTAAAGGTTGAATTATCCTTGAGAATGTGCTTGGGGGGTGTGGACAGTAGTTTGTTCTATCCAGTACCATCCATGAACAGGCTCAATCAAACCATGCCTGCAACATTTTCAATTTTACTGTTTATTGGAAGTTCTTTAGGGATTACATTGTTGCATATTCACACCTGTAACTTATGCCAGACTAGCATTGTTTAGAATAAATATGCTCAAAATCGTACAAGCAAATAGAATGAAAAACGGAAAGCTTTAAGATTACACAATATGGCACACTTACGCTCGGTTCGATTATGCCTATTTTTTGAACAGCAGTGATATATGCAAGCTTCTAACAACGTTCTCCAAGCAAAATTCAGTATTTAAACAAAAATGTAGTGAAATTATAATAGTGAAACTTAAAATTTTAAACATCCGTAGACAAGTTCATAAGACGGTAAACAAGGGATCTTCAATGTAACCATTGCGCCACTCCATGAAAAACAGTGTATGGACCCAAGTAAAATAATGTGTGTAGCCTAAATATGAAAATTGTGCTGAGCTAAATAATTGAAATTTTGAAAATAGGGTTATGAAGTCTTAATATCAGATAAAAGCCACCAAAGGAGAAATCTTAAGTCAGGCAACACATCCTTAAGGGTGATATTCAGTATTCACAAAGGAATACTAGAACCACACAACGGGGAAAAAAGTAAAAAAGAAGAAACTAAAACTATGCAACACAGCAGTGTTGTTGTGCTGAACGATTTCCATGGATCAAAAATATAACATCCCAGATTGATCAAACTGTCAGGCGCTGATGCATCATTTTTGCCATCTACACAGTCAGTGCCCAGTGTGATTTTGAAACACTCCTAAAGTACTGACATTTGAATTTTATTACTGCTGAATAGTGAGACAACACATAACATAGGTAGTGGATCTGAAGGAAACAGCGACTATGTACTTATAAATGTAAATTACAACTAAATGCTGGTCGGTTGCTTTGTGTGAAAATTGTTGCTTTTATATCGACTTTAGTACAGAATGTATAAGTGCATAATTTCAAGATGTATGTATTTCTGTGACAAGTATAGATAGCTTAAACATGTTTTAACTATTTGGATGTTTTGTGTGCAGTAACATTCACAACTTTTGCTAACCTTATTCATATATGATTGCTAATTTTATAAATGACAATACTTCTTACCTTTGTCAAATTAAAAAATGATGATGTGTTTATATCAAATTTCACAACTACACTGTCACAAAATGCATTACACAGACATCATGGTTCTTGATTAATATATAAGTGTGTCTTTTGATGTTTTTAATGCACTTTTCCTTAATTGTAATTATGATTCAAAATTTCTTACCCTTATCAAAGGCACACTATGCCTCAAATCCAAATAAATTAAAGAATGGTTCGAGAGAATGTAAGATGCTTGTTACCTGAATAAAATAAAGATAAATCTAAAATACTTTGTAGTAAATGTAGTAAAATGTAAGCAAAGTAGTATTTTAACTTCCATACATACAAAATACTAATTCACAACAACTATACTTATTACCAAAATGTAACTGATAAAATAGTTCAGGTGATTGGCCAGTGAGTAACGATATGGATAACATAAAACTATACCAAAATTAAAAAAAAAAAACTTTAGAGAAAGGAAGATAAAAGCTTTTCTGAGGCATAATGGGCCTTTAAGAAAAACATAATCAATTACAAGTGTTATGAGCATGTATCAAAATTAATAAAATTACAATTTTTTTTGTAGAAAGAACGTAATAAAAACTGTTTCTGCCCATAAGAGTATGTTGTATAAGCACCGTGATGTCTTCAGGTCTAAGTTCAATTTTATCCCACACACTTTTTTAGTGCTACTCTTTTAAGACACATGCCTTGCGACAATTTCAATTAAAGTACACTTACATCTATTTTATGTTACAAAGATGAAATAAAAATTACCAAAATACTGGTATGTTGTTTTTATACATTTTTGTGTGAATTCATAATGATAAATAAAACATTTAAATGATGTATTTTTTTCTTAATTGGTTGAAGAATTTATATAGTGAAATTTGAAAATACTTGTATTTGCTATACAGCCTTTTTAAAACATCTTTTTGAGTACACACATACAAGATATGATAAGTGTTTACTCCATACACTATAGATAAACACAGTATAAATACAAAACGTCATTATAACTGGCGTTCCAAACAGCTTTCCAAACTTTTTTATTCAAAAATATTCAGTAAGAATTTTGTAGATTTCACTCACAAAAATATCTGCAATAAAAGAGTTTTACCAAAACCAAAAATGCTAGGTACATCGTTAACATAATTTATTGATAATAATTTTCAGAAAATGGCAAAAAATGACTATTAAATATTAAAAAGTAAAAGCATGTTCTATTATCACTTTAATTTTGAAAATGTTTTGTTGGATCCATTTCTTTAACTCTATCCCTCTGTGATACATTCTCTTGAAATGGTTTTTATGCCAAACTAATACAGCTATAATCAGCTTAAACAACTGTAGCACAATTCTTCTACTTTGTGTCAAAAAGATATACTAAAAGGCAACAAAATGCAAAAACTGTGTTTATTTACCTGTTAATTTTTTGGTTAATTGTGATAATCTTAAAGGTTGCTATGACATGATGTTTCTTTTCTTCTTAAATGTTTTACATATTAATATATCTTACCGCAAAATTCAATTAATATCTTATTATTGCACTAAAATTGTAAAATAAGGGCAAGTTTTAGGAGCTTATTAATTTTGAACGCGCTTTCTTGGGGGTTATTTTACCCCACCCGCTTTTGAAGTTGTAGTCTTTTGTTATAAATGCGTCAGGTACTGAATTTTTATGCTTAACTTATAAAAATATGTTCAAATGATAAAGAACATACAATTAAAACACAATTTGCTATATTAACTGAAATGATAAAGTAAAGGCAAGTTTTGGGAACATTGTAATTTAATTTTATTTTTTCGGTAATATTACCCCACCCACTTTTACAGATCTACTCTTACGGCATAAAAGCCCAGAAAATGATTTTTTATGCTTAACTTGTCTAGCTATGTTCAATTTATAAAATACACACACTTTAAATGCATTTTTGTTTATATTGTGTAAATACGAAACAACGAAAGTCATCACATTGTCAAAAAATGCTATTTTTTACCATTTTTTTTGGTAAATTGATAGTGATAATTTTAAAGTTTGCCATACAATTGCCATTTTTGCTTGATTGGATCATAAATGAGCCATATTTTATCTGATATTATGCAATTGAAACTACTTTGTACAAAATCCGTATGTAAAAACTCAAGAAACAAAATATTATATGGTATTTTGTAATTTTTGGCGGCCATATTGGCGGCCATCTTGAATTTTTGTACTTTTGCACGAGCTGCGTAACTTATAAAATGGGTTTTTAGAAACTACAAACAAAATGCTTTATTACGGAAATGATTCTTTTTGTGATACGGTAAATTGCAATAAAAACCCGCCATCTCTTGGACTAACTCATAACTTAACAGTATTGTTTATATACCACCTTTAACAAGCATTTTAGGACTAATGGGGCCAAATCATGTCTTTTTAAATATTAATTCAGATCGTCATGCAACTTTTTTTTATCACTTTCGAATCCACTTCCCAAAATCAACCAGTACTGGTGTCATATGAAGAAACATGGCCGTGACGCCAATAGGGCTCATGATCCCTAGGTTGAGAGTCGAATATTTTTCCTACTAGACTATAGTTCCGCAGTTCATGTTAATAGTTTATGAAATCTGTGACTATTCTTTTGTATCTGAAAGTGTACTTAAAATAGAAAACGCATGTACCAACGAGTAACTAAGTAACAAATCTAAACCTGTTTTGGCAATGGAAAATAACATACAAAATAGTGATCTTCCCTTCCTAGAGTTTTTATATATTCACAGCAGTAAGTGTTGTTATGAATTTCTGGTTCATTAAGATCATTGATCCCAATACTGTAAGTGTAGAAGATTGAATATCACTTAAGACGGTGTCGGGGAGGGGCGGCGATTGAGACGCTGCACTTCCCATCACTCGTGAACGAACCCAATCTATTCTAAGCTGAGACTTTCAACTATTTTTCTTTCCATATTTCGATTACGTCCGATGATTCTCCCCTTTACATGGTTATTAGCTTTATAATATCAATATAGAGTATGATTGATTGAGCCTGTTCATGGTCGGTACTGGAAAGTGCAAGTTACCGTCCACACCCCCTAGCACCGGTTTCAACATCTTAACTCGAACATGATGAAATTTTGAATTCAGAAACATCCGCAGATAATTAAGAATCTTATATATCTTACATTTTTGTATATTATTCACTTATGTCCCCGGACGAAGAAGATTTTGCTCATTGTTTTGTAACGTTTGTCCTAGTTGTGTTCAATTTGCTTCTTGAACAATGTAAAGCTAGTAAAACAATGTTATTATGATTATATTTGTTAGGAAATGTACGGCATGTGAACATATTTTTTTATACATTTACGACACCCGCATCGATGTAAATTAAGTTTTATTTCATTATCAATTACATTTAGTTGTTTTTATTCAGATGCTTTGTTAGTTAGAACAACTTTGTTTGTATGGAATTTTATTGTCTTATCAAACACTGGCTCTAATAAATTCATTAAAGGACGGGATTGAAATGAAGTCTCGCGAGATTTTAGAAGAATATGTGCAGCATTAATTTCCGTTACTTAAAACTTTTTTTCTTTTTTAGAATGAAAATAAGCCATGCATTGTAGTAATAGAAAGTTCTAACCCGATGGGAATCCTGGCTTTAGTAAACACATCAATCCTATTTTGCAAAACTTAACGATTCTCTCTAGTTGAAAGCAGAATTTATTCATGTTTGCATGTTTAGATTATTTCATGAATGCATGTGAAAACAGTCTCTTTGCGTTTTTGGAAAACCATTAGATTTAATTGTGAGCTTTCAGAATTTCATGACTGAATATTGAGTAGATTTTCTCATTAAATTCGCGTTCTTAAATTACAATACTGAGCCACCTGAGACTTACGCTTTGAACGTTGAGTCGTACTGACAATTTATACAGCATTTGTTTTTCTAATAGCACGCATGGACTTATGTATATGTCAATGTTTTTCACCACGAATTTGGACCTCCGCTACGGCAAATGTTACATACTTAGTATCACGATTATACGTAAATCAGAAAATGTTCATATCAGAATTGTTTAAAGCCGCGAGTAAGGATAATTAATTTGGAAATGAAAATCTTTAACTCGTACATAGTAATAAATTGCCCCGATATATGTTTTAAAACGTACAACACAGATTTGGAGTTTGATAAGAACTACAACTTCAGCTAATTTGCATTGTAAGGTTTAGTCAGTGTTGCAGATGATAATTTTTAATCAGCCTAAACAGCTTATGTTTTAAATTCACACGAAAAAGAAAGTGTTCATTTTGTCTGAGTGAAAGAGTTTTAATTAATTAGTAACATATAACAAATTTATCGAAATCTATTGGCTTCATGACGTATTACTTTTAAAAAGAACAAAGAAAATGTTGCAAATGAAATGAAAGACTATCCTAAAATATGCAATCCAAACAGGTAAGATATGATCAGAGAGGGAAAACCGTTCTCGATCGGTTCAGATTGTCAAACAAACTTCGACTCTTAATAGGGAATCAAAAACTTTAACACAGGAAAGCTTAATTAGACAGATCATTAATGCTGGAATAAAATAAATAAAGCAGTTTTCTCCATAGAATCGAGTCAAAAGGCCCAATGCGATAAAATCACTGTTTGTCGTTCGGATGCGCATCATTATATAATTCCTCGCATCCGAACTCCAAACAGTGATTTTATTGAGCGATAAAATCACAGTATGGGATATATTATTTCTTAAATAACACACACTTTCGGCGGGTCGTGTTGGAATATATAACATTGACAGAAACCTTAGTCCGTGCAAATAACTCGAAGGCAAAATTACAAAGTGAACCCGGGATCCATATAAATTATTAAATCTCACTCTGTTCAGTATTAAAATCCATTATACAATCATGAAATACTTAAGTCTTACAAGTAAGTCGTCTAATGGTTTTCCAAACGTAAAATGACTTTTATTTGACATGCAGGTATGAAGTATATTCAACATGCAAACACAATTGATTTCTGGTTTTATCTGGAGAAACTTTACTTTACTTTATATTATCAAAGAGGATTTTGACAGAATCGGATTAGAAGTATTAAAAATACTCGTTTGCGTGACTTAATTAGTTAGTTTTAAGCAAATCATATTATCAGTTTTGGATATATTTCTTGTTCTTTGTATCAATGCTAACGAGAAATTCTTTAAATCCCATCTTTTAATGGACTAATTAGTATCTGTTTTCAATGAGGTAATGCAGTATTATATACACAGTTGTTCAAACTAACAAAGCATTTGTAAAGATATATATAATAATGAAAAAGGACTAACTTTGCCCTGAAGACAAGTGTATTTTTTAAACCATGAAAATTTCAATGGATATTTACAGAATTTCCCTAAGGTCCCGTTACTTATTTTACGTTCACGCTAAGAAAAGGAATTATGGCAAAATGTACAGGCAAACGGGACGAAAGAGGGGCCAATTTTTATCCATAAGAAAGCTGAAGAATTAGAAAAGTTGAAGGGAGAACGGGAGTTACACAAGGTCAAAATCAAGCCACTGAAAATTTTGTTATATGTCAGGACAGGTTTCACGCACAGAGGTTATGGGGTTATGGGGTCAGATCCTGTCCCTCAACGTGATATACCCTTGTAAACACTCTATCAAAAATGTTTTAATATTTAAACACGAATGGGACATCTGCTACAACTATAAAACTGGTTTTCGAACATTTTCACACATGTGAAAAATACCTGTTACCATCAAGTCTCAATTAATTTTTGGTTACTTGTTACAGTTTAAAAAAGCTAAAATAACACTTTATTTACAGTTTACTATATTTACTATTGATTAGTTTACACTGTGCTATTTTTCCCGTTTTTACAAAAGGATATTTATTCATTTCTTAGATTTAATGTGCTTAAAAATGACAACGACAAACTTTTACAAAAATGTGATAATACATGAAGAAATTATGAAGATGATAGTGGGTAAATGCTGGGTACCCGACGCTGAAACAGAATCTATACTGAACCGGATTCTACCCCGGACCTCTGCAAATACGGGACTGTGCTTCTTAAAGTACTCAATCAGTGTTGTTGCGTCTAATGTATCTGTTATAAATAAAATAATATGCGAGTTTAAATTTAGCGTCTAGCTGAAGTTTGTTTAGTAGTGTTTGGTCGAAAATGGTTTTCTTAACATCAAATGTTACCAGTGATTCCCATACCAGAGTAAAGTTATGTCTGGACATATTGATAAGGAATCGCAGTAAATAACAATTATCACGGAGTAACGGATTTAAAGCAGTAAAATCAATAATGCAAATTTACGGTGCAATGAGAACAATAACCTGAACAAATAAAGGTGTCTTCATCTTGATAAAACACTAGATTGCCTCATACGATAGGATCTCATACGATAGTATTACCGGTTAGTTCCAGAAAAATGACTCTAACTTAATTTATATGGTCCTAACACTTTTTCATTGCAAAAGAAAAAATAATATCTTCAACTAGCAATGGTAGCGTTTCACAAGATGAAGGAGAAAGATTTTGAATAGTCATGTATATACTATACTCACTAAAACGTTGTCGTTTTAAAGCTTCAAATTTATATCCATCACCTCCATTTAATATAAAAGTCGACACAAATATGTTGTACATTGCACTATCTCGGAGAGGGTAATATTTTGGTATGTCGCAACTCAGACATCTGGCTTCTGCCGAAACAACGCGGCTCCCGACGGTGTTCTGTATATTGTACACAACTCGAAGTCCTAGAAAAAAATGCAACAAAATATTATACATCTCGTATTCAAATGACTTGTGATTTTAGTTATAATTACACAGTGTATTGCTTGCAAGATTAGACAGACATCAGCCGAAATAATTAACAAGCATTTTAGCTCTCTTTATAATAAACTAAACGTTACAGGTAACATATTATGAGAATAGGACTAGGAATAGAACATTGACAAATTTAAAGAGTCAATTAAAATTGCATCAAATTTAATTTGATTGATTTGATAAACACTTTTTAAAATGATATTTATCATATATACAGCAGTTATTATTTGTACTTACCCGACATCTGAAAAAAGGCACCGAATGGGTCGGACCGGTTATATATTGCGACGGAATGTTCTAACTGTTCCCGGAGGTTTTTACCGGACACTGTTATAAGATCTATCTCATTTCCAAATGGTAACACGCTGTAAATCTCTCCTGCACTTACTACTCCTGCAAATATAGATTCTTTTGGCAAACGTTGCTAATAGTTTTCTTAATGTACCTAAGATAGAACAATAAGTTTTTAATATTACTTATATTATTTTTAATTAAGAAAAACTATGTATGATTGTTTAAACTACATATTATATTTTTTCTTATTATTTGTTAAACGATTTGTTATACTTTTATGTTTTTAATATAAATTTCGAAATTTCGAAACACATCTACGTTCCACCTGCTCAGAAAATAGACTTAACAGTAACCTTATTTGTATGAAAATTAAAGCAATTTAAAAGTCAATGATAATTTTCTTTATAATAACAAATCTAAACAAACATCTGATGAAATCTAAGTTATACCTTTATCAATAGATGATCTAATACCACCACCGTTCCAGAAAGCTATAGCAGCCGGCGCCCAGTCAGATTCCGGGTGACTGAAATTCATGTGGTAGTCTACAATTCCGTCTGTCATAAGATTTCCTGAATGATAATATAAAAGTAATATAAAATAATGTAATGTAATATAAATGGTTATTAATATATATTCATAAATTTAAAAATATAAACATTATAATTCAATTTCCAGCTAGCTTTGTACTTCTACCTGGTTCGAGATCGTTTTATACATATATAAATATCAATCAATTTCGGGCTTGCTTTGAATTTCGAGCAAGGTCTTACTTCGTTAAAAATTTATTAAAAATGGCAACTATCACTCTAGCAGTCAGCGTTTAAATAAATATTAAAAATAATTAAACAGTCACAGCCATATACAATGGACTAGGAATGTACACTAAAGTAAAATATGTAATTATCATGATTCGTACCGGGTTTCCTGGCAGCCTGTGAGGATCTCAGAAACCACAAATCGGGCAGTAGACCCATAAAATAGATGGACCAGACTGGCATTGAGATATCTGAATGCCCGCGAGAGTGAAAAAAATAATACCATCATGTCTTTTCAATGAACAGTGGAGGGTCTCTAGATGTTAAAACATATCTTTATTTCACCAGAACGCTGTTTTTTAAATTTTGAATACCGATCTCAGAGCTGGGTCTGAATACGATTTTAGCACGGAGTTAGCTCTTTGAAAAATCTCTGAGAGGGTTCTGAATTCTTTGCTAGCTGCTAGCTTGGTGGTGATTTTCTGTAGTATGTAATCTCAAACAAGGATATTTATGAATTATTTAGATGAAGACCAAGACTGGTTTTGAGTAAAAGCAAAATCAATTATATGGTTACATTATATAAGAATATAAATTATGAGAGTGCCTTTTTACCTAGATTACATTCCTTAAGTCTGCATGATAACCTCTCACCGTCCATTATTGCATTAGAATAACCGACTGTTAGTGAATTCAGTTTCTCTACAGGCTTCCTCCATTCATTTATTTCCTGTAAAATCCGCACATCTGTAAAATACATTTATATATAGAGGTAAAAACGGGACCGCCGACTTCGAATAATGCCGGGTATTCGAATAAAGGGTTGTCGAATAATCGGGGTCGGACTGTATTGTAAAATATAATTTCACATACCAACATTAATTTAAATATTGTATTGATAACATGTTAATATATAGATAGCATATAGGTTTTGCGTCGGACAATAGACAGATAAACAGGTAGCTAATGAAAGCGACGTAACAAACATACAATTTTATAATAAGCTACCTACAACGTGTACCCCTTCAGTCACATCGTTGTTTTGTGCTTTAACATTTTAACATGAGCTGTGCAGCCAAATGTTTACGGAGCAATATTGCCAGATCAATACAATTAATATTTATTTAAAAACTTGATATTTTTACTACTAAACACATTTATTAAATAATTTAAAGTAATTTACGAGGATGGGCCAATATGAAATGTCATATGACCAACAAATTTAAGAAAAAGGGCAAAAAAATTCTAATTTTCTATTGCAGCCTTCGAAATAATGTTATCCTATAGCCATACAATGAATGTTTGAAGGACAGTTACTCGTTTTTTAGAAAAAAACAACAACAAACAAACAAAAAACAAACAGACACACAAAAACAATCACAGTAGCTCCTGTGTGTGCAGGAGCGTTTTCATGCAGAAAATACAAGTCGAAAGACGAACTTTATCTCTATAATACTTGAATGAGACTGAACAGCCTGTAGAAACAGGACAACAGCTCTACGGGTATTGAAAATAATAACGTACATAACTCTCTAGAGACTTGTCAATCGTTTGTCAATATATGATCAACGAACATATTTGGTGGCCTAAATCTTATTGTTTCAAATGCAAACAGGCATAAAATAGTGAAACCAGCTTTTCCCCACTTGTCACAGTAGTAGAAAAACCCCAACTGTCATTATTAGGAAACATTTTTCTGTAATTTTTGGGTGCATTTAACTCGCTCCTTCTTCTGGCCATATGTTTTATATTTGCAAATGGGGTATCCATCTGGCAGTTATTCGCATAACTTTTAAGCGATTCTTAAAAATCATATAAGTTGCCATTTTGATGTCCATGCGAAATGGGCTACTAATATCTGGGTAAGTGAAAGTCTGACACCTTTGTCAATAATTAGCTTAACTTTATGAATGTTTTGTCAGCATCTACGGAGCGTTTTCTACCAGCCTTACTAACATCTTTACCTGACTCGTGCTCATTTAAATTTATGCATTTACCCCGAAACAGTTGTATAAGAAACTTCATTGGTGCCATATTTATTACAAATATCATTATAAACATTTATAGCAGATTTTCTTAGTTGTGCTTAAGCTTTTATGTAAGCACGTATTTCAGCACTTGTAACTGAGCGTTAACCAGTCATATTTTAGATAAAATTACTCGTGTAAGATATTTTTTGGTTGTCTTCACACATGAACTTGGTATCATTTGAAACAAGATGCTTCGAAGCATAGCATAGTTTATACAAACACACGAATCACGAGCTAAATTAGAACATATACTACATTTTGCTTTACATATTGATTCACCCTCGTACAAATATAATGTACGTATATAACTTACCCTCTGAAACTGTAGAATCCAATAGGATAGGGTTTCCCGAATAGTTTGTTACTATGCCATTGGAGTCAAACTTCAGGTTAAGGTAACCAAGGTATTTGCCCAAGGTGTAGGCTTGAACCACAAGTCCTTTACCACCACCTGGCTGGTCAACAACAATAGGATACGGTCCTTCTATATCTTCACCAGCTGGTTTCTCACCTTGAAGTATTAAAATGGCTTGAAACTTATGTATAAACCACACACAGTTACTGAAAAAAATTAGATTAATCTAACCTGTCGTCTCTAAGGCATGCTTGATAACCTAAAACCCATATAATTTACAAAGATAAGCGCACACTGGGAAAAAAGTTAATGAAGTTAATATAAGAAAGCAAATGGTGAGCATAAGTAAACAAAAGGCCGGCATGTGTAAAAATAAAATGTCCAGACACTTTATTCCCTAAGTTTATATAATATACTAGTAGATGTACGTGACCAAATTGAGAACATTGCGTTTTCAATTATTTAAAAGAATTTGGATTATTCTAAATATTTCTGCATTGATAACATTTTAATTTTCCGAAAAAAATATATAAAAATTCGAGGATTTACCTTCATCATACCGCTTATAATTCAATCTGTAAAATGTAATATTTCTAACATGTATGAGAATGTGTCGTTTTTAAGGTGTACATAGTAAGTTATTAAAAACGAGTGCACAATAAGGTGTTGAAGAGGAAGTATCTATCTTATACCGTTGAATTCATCTTTTAAGACGTTCTGTTTAATCAAGAGCTTGTCGCATATTGATAAAATACATCCTTTAACAGAATAGAACATACTCTGCTTTTTTAGATATAACATCATCTATAGCAAGAAGTGGAGAAAGAAGAAAGATAAAAGTTCTTTTTTACTGATATATACTTATAAAATGATAAAAGTTTATTTTAGACACTGACTTGTTAATCCGAAAATATCATATTTTACTTACCGTTGTACAAGAATGTGTTAGTATGTCCACCAATAGCCAGGTCAACACCATCTATAGCAGCTACTTGTTTATCCATATCTATCCCTGCATGCCCAAGAGCAATTATCTTGTTAATTCCTTGGACTTTTAGTAGGGCTACTTCATCTTGGACTGATGTAATTACGTCATGGAACTTCACATTTGGTCCTGAAATTAAGACAGTATTTCTCTTTGGTTTACAGTGCCAAAATGTTGTGAGGGTATATCAAAAGTCAATAACATACAGGCAGTTTCTTATAACTATAAAATCTTCATTTAAAACCCTCGCCCCATTCTCCCGGCGGACAGCATTGCATCTGTTTTTACTATTTTAAAGACACATGATTGGATCAATAAAACATTTACTTATCAAAATTTCATCAAAATTAATTGACTTATTAATTTATTAATTAGACAGCATCTTTATATTATAAATTTCTTTTCTTAAAATATATAATGAACATGTACACATGAAATAAGATCATTTGTGTCCGTAAACGATGTTTAACTTATATTGACAACGACGACGACGATGGTGACAATGGTGATGATTATGATGATGACGACGACGGCGACGACGATGTTAATGATGATGTTTATGATAGTGATGATGATTATAATGGCGGCGGTGGTGGTGGTGGAAGTGTTGTTGATGATGATGATGATGATGATGGTGGTGGTGACGACGACGATAACAACAATGATATTTTTGTCGTTTAAATTAAATCTTCTTTATTATAAACTATTAATTTGTGTTTTTTTAAGAAATAAGTTTGTGTTTATGTGTGCTTTAGTAACAATACAACTAATTTTTTCAAATATTTTCAGTTTTTAAAAAAGTTCGTTTCTATATTTAGATAACACATCAAATTCTTCAAATGGATTCAATATGGCGGTTTATATACAACATTCATGTTCGCGGGTTTCACTAAGCTTTATGCATTTCTTACCATTTTGATATCTTGAATACATTTCCTTTGATAAAATATCCTATAAAGAAATGTTACAGTGATATCGTTACTGTAAAGTTTAAAATTCTTCTGATTCTATTCATAATGGATAGAAAGGTTTTTATTCTAAAGCACGTAATGTGAATTCCATGTTATCAAAAAGAAACTTGAGATGAAAACAATCAAGAGTCTTAGAAAACATGATATGTTTATAAAAGTTGTAAAACTCATTACAAGGTTAGAAATTTGCTTTATATATGAAGCATATGGTCCAATTTATCATGCTATGCACTTTTGTTTAACTGAACTTAAAATGATGATAAATTTTGCCCGTGTGTCGGACAGAACGTCGACCAGTGCTGAAATCGCGGCCGTAAATAACAACAATTGGGTCATTCAATTGTTTTCTCTTAAAAATGTCTTACACAACTTACCCCCATTTGAGATTTGAGCAGTTTCTGTGGTAACATATCCAACAACGCCGATTTCTTCACCACCTATAGTTGTAGTCCAAGATTTCGAGAACTTTCCTGCTAGACGTGGTTCATTTGTGACGTCAGTGTTTGCGCTTACGACTGGAAACGTGACATTATCGAGAAACTTTGCAAGACCTTCAACTTCTAGATCAAATTCGTGGTTTCCAAGACACTGTTGGTGCAAAAATGTAAGCATAATCAGTAGATAATAAGTAAAAGTCGTTAAAAGTTCGCCATTGGACACGTGTTTTAGTTGTCTCGAACAGGAGTACGTAACCTATTCTAGTATCATAATGTCCTAGTTTTTAGTATATACTAATTTATTTTAGTTCGATTGTGTTGGAAGCTATAAACATATTGAACCACTCTCGAATCTTTTCCTGGAACCAACCAGTACTAAGCAAATTGTGTAAGTTTCTTGCTCACGGAAACAACGGCTTACCAGTGACGAGGTTTGAACCCACGCGACCAGCAAACCTCAGATTACCAGTCTGACGAGTTGGCCACTCGGCCACCCTGCCACTTTAACATATTTTTGTTTTTGGCCTTATTAGTCCCCTACCGGTTTAACCGGAGGGGACTTTAGGTTTACCCTCCGTCCGTCTGTCTGTCTGTCCGTCTGTCAGTCCGTCAGTCCGTCCGTTCACAAAACTGGATCCCGCGATAACGCAAAAAGTACTAAAAATATTTTTATGAAACTTGATATATGGATAGATGGCAGTATGGAGATTATGCACGTCTTTTTCTTTTGTTCCTATGTTGTAAATTCTGGTTGCTATGGCAACAAATAGTCTGAAAATATGGCAAATTTAACACATAAACTGGATCCAGTGATGACTCAAAAAGTACTGAAAATATTTTTATGAAACTTGAAATAGGGGTAAAAGGGAGTCTGGAGATTATGCACATTTTTTTCTTTTCTTCCTATGTTGAAAATTCTGGTTGCTATGGCAACAAATAGTCTGAAAATATGGCAAATTTAACACATAAACTGGATCCAGTAATAACTCAAAAAGTGCTGAAAATATTTTTATATAACTTAAAATATGGATAGATCGCAGTCTGGAGATTATGCACATCTTTTTCTTTTCTTCCTATGTTGAAAATTATGGTTGCTATGGCAACAAATAGTTTGAAAATATGGCAAATTTAACATATAAACTGGATCCAGTGATAACTCAAAAAGTACTGAAAATATTTTTATGAAACTTGAAATATAGGTAGATGGCAGTCTGGAGATTATGCACATTTTTTTTTTTTCTTCCTATGTTGAAAATTCTGGTTGCTATGGCAACAAATAGCCTGATTTCAAGATTTCTGATTTAAAATTTTCAGCTTTTTCACTGTAAGTTCTTTATTTCTTAAGGTGTTTACTTCAAACTTTAAATATAAGTTTCTGGTCATCAACCACATCATATGTGACAAGGTTTACAACTCTAGCACAAAAATTATCAGTATTACCTCCCTTGAACTTAGAATTTTTATGAAAAAAATGTTGTCTTTTTTAAATAATTTCCTAATGTATCTACTTCAAACTTCATATATATGTTTCTTATTATCACTCAACATTTTTGAGAAGGTTAAATACTCTAGCAAGACTATTTCCAGAATTATGTCCCCCTTGAACTTAGATTTTTTTCGAGAAATTGGTATTTTTTACTCCAACTTCTTCATTCCTTATAGGATTTACGGTACTTTAAAATCCCACATCGTAATAATATGACAAGGTTGTATAAACATAATTTCGTTACAAGGCAGGGAAACTTAACACATTACTGACTGATATAGACAAACTTAGAACTCAAAAGATTTAAGTTCATTCATGTCATTCATTCACTGGTAAAATTGAATGGCCAAATTGGCCCATCAGAATGTTGCTGGGGTTCTAACCGGTAGGGGACTTATGGATTGCTTGCAATACTATGATAATTGCTTGTTTAAAATATGAAATGCCAAATATCCCTTTACAATAAAAGACTCTGTTTGAATCCAGGTTTTACATATCATTAAATCAGATGATCTACTCTCACATTTGGTAAAAGATGAAAATGATGTTAAAATGTGATGTGATCAAAATGTTCTCGGCCCGATATACTTCTAGTCACTACACTGACATTTACACACGATACGTTGATACCGATATCTTATTGGAGATTACTGACCGAGTTACACGCGGTTTTTACACAGATTAAGTAACATTAAATACACTTTGATCAGTAGAGGGGTGTGTCATTTACATCAAATGGGGAAAGTTGACGGTTCGTACTATGCAGACGAATTGAGACGTCTGCGTCAAGAAATCACGCGTAAAAGGAGGGTCAAACTGACTCAAGGTGTTCTGTTCCTGCACGACAATGCGCCAGCTCACACGTCCCAAGTTGCTATGGCTGCTGCAACTGACTGCGGCTTTGAAATTTTTCCCCATCCCCCATATTCTCCGGACTTGGCCCCCTCTGACTTCTACCTGTATCCGAAACTGAAAACCAAGCTTTTAGAAGCAATGAAGGTGTCATGGAGGCGGTCAATGAGTTCTTTGAGGAGCAAAATAGAGAATTCTATTTTAAAGGGTTAAACAAGTTGGAGCACAGGTTGGCAAAGTGCATTGATGTTGAGGGCAATTATATTGAAAGGTAAAGCCATAAGTTGGATTCTTTGACTACCGGAAGTACATCGGGCCAAGAACTTTTTTGATTAATTCTCGTATAGAAAAAGAAATTAAACATCTTTCAAAATTATTGATCAGTTGTTGTTCTAAATAATTTAGAAATGGTATTCAGTACTGTCAGTGTGCTTGTAAGTTGATTAATATTAAACATTATAGATTAGGTAGAATAAGGTAATTGTAACATTTGTTAAAGTGTATACTTCAAGAAAGTCAATAATATCACAGACAGGACTACATTTATGTATGTTCATGTTGAGACTTGGGAATTAAAAGATGATATTAAAACCAATTACATGTAATTTAAAACTTGTTTATTTTTACTTCATTTAGGCTTAATAGAACATGGGACTTTCTTAAATTCCTGTGTAAATTGTTTAGAAATATGTTTTATGATTGAGAAAGATGTCCCATTTGTGTTAAAATGATAAAAGTTACTGATTGAGACTTGACAAGGGCGCAAGGAATTTTCTGTTTCACTAACGATGAAATTAATTCACCTCTAGAGGTGAATTAATTTTGTTGTTAAGTTTTTGTAAAAGCTGATGTTTTAACAAAAAGATAACGCCATTTTACCTTGTTAATTTTCGACTTTTCGCTTTCGTTTCGGGGCGAAAACACGAATGGCACAAATCAGCCACCATACTATTTTTTCTGAACAATTGAATTTTTAACAAAGATATTTAACAAAAAAATTAACAACACTTTGTTAATTTAACACAACTTTAACGTTAACAATGTTTGAACAACAGAATTGCTAAACAAAAAAATTTAACGCAGAATTTAACATTTCTTTTGTTAATTTAACAATGATATTTAACGAAAGTTTTGAACAACTGAGCCTATGTCATGTATGTCTTCACAACACAATTAACAAACAAGCCATATTGAAACTGAAAATAGATGATATTGAATAAGTGAAGACAGAATACTAAATTTATTTAATGACTTCAATAAAATCATATTAAACAAGACTCTATTTTTATCACAAAATAGGAATGGTTTACAATTACAGTCATTTTTCGTTGACACGCCTAATCAGTGAAGTGTAACGATATGGCTGAGTGATTAATTTGAAAGCATTTGAAAAATATACCGATCATTTTTTTAAACTTAACAATTTATTGCCAGTAAAATATTGCAACATTTTTACATCAATTTGACTAACGCTGCTGCATTTTATCTTGATTGGGGGCTGCAAATATGCCCTTTAAGGCCTACTATGCCCCAGAAATGCTTTTATTTTTCTTTATTAAAAGAGTCTATTCCTGGTGTCCTGAAATAATTTCCAAAATGTTATTCATGGCCAGTTACTTGAACCATATTTTGCTACTTTTGTTTTTATTGTAATAAGTACAGTTATTGTGATGGATGTCAAAATACCACTCTCTTTACATTTTACTATGTTTTATCATATCTTTTCATATTCAGGAATACATTCTTTCAGATGATAAGTCTCTAACATGCTTTAAAGAAATTATCTAAAAATGATAAAACTCCTATTTGCCCTTTCTAAAGAAGAAAAAAAGTTATCCGCTTCAGAGGCATAATGCGCCTTTAAATAGATACATATTACTCTTTATATCATACCATAGCGTCGTATTTAAGTTCCTTCATGAAATAAGAAGCCCCCATACCACGATGTACAGTAAACCATACGGTTCCTGTGAATTGGTCTCCGGCATCCAACAAAATCACGTTGTCATGGCTATTTCGAATTTCCTGAATTTTGGTACGTCGTCTGGCCACTCCTCCGAAACAACGCCCCTCTTGAGCATCGCTCGTGCCGCATGTTGATCCATATTTATTGAATTGTTCGAATCTCGCGTGAACATCGTTCGTATGTAAAACTGTTACTTCAAACCCTGATACGCTACAACATGCCAGAGAGGAAAGTACAATCGCGCATAAAATATTAACTTTATTAAGAAAATCCATGTCTATTGATACGCAAACTTAAGTGGAAAATTAGCTATATAAACTTTTTCTGATTTTAGTTTCAGTAATTATGCAATATCACATTCTTCTTTCACGGCGTGCCGTGGCCTTTAACTTGAGTTAAAATACCGAATGGATAAATGTTAATATTATCGCCAGTAAAAAAGTATAATGACTACATGGTTTGATGCACATTTTACACTGAAACGAATCTTCTTCGTCTTACCGTTCAGGTATTACATGTAACCTATATATAAAAAATGTGTTAAATTATAGATCTGTGACGATGACTTTACCGCACTTATAAATATGTCTAATACTTTTGCTGTGCGACTCCAGGTCAAGTTTCTTCTGTTTGAGAAATGGCATGCCAATAAATTATAAGGACATATCGTGTTCTCGGTGCGATTGGGGAGAATGCTGAAAGAACTTCAAACTATTACTTCAACACGAAACAATTATACATTTCGTATCTACGGCATGCGGGGCTCAGGATGGTATGAGGAATAATAGAAGAGGCGAAAATGCAAAAACATATAATTTAATAAAATAAAAAATAAATAAAAGGTAGGACATCCGAGAGTAGACACACCGTTTATTGTTCTTTTGATTGTCCCCACAGCTTAGACTCAAAGACTCGACGTATGTATGGTGAAAACAGAATACAATTTAGGTTGCCTAGGTGCCATGGTGATCGTGTGTCTTCAAAGATCAAGTTCATACCACATGACCTAAAACAACGTTCATAAATAATCAAAGCACTAAAACTATTATTT